AGCCCAGCAGCCCCCACAGACACGGAAGCAGGGAGGTGTGCCACCGGTCGACTTGGATGTGGCGTCCCATGCGGTGCCCACCCCCTACCACTCCTTTCCCCCCTCATCGGCCGGCGGCCTCGCCAGCCGTGGCCCATCGGGCGTGGGCGGCCCTGCCAGCCCATTTCAGGCCGCAGCATCGCCCCTCCACTCCACCAGTGAGGTGACCGGTGCCGCCGGCACGCCCTACCAGACGATGCAGACGCCATACGGCACCCTCTCACAACACCAGCAGCAGCAGCAGCCACCCCAGCAGCCGCCGCCTGCACAACCGCCGGTGCCGAGCAAGCTGGTAGTGAATATCAAGGAGGCTCACGACCTCGCTGCGGCCGACGGATGGATGCGCAAGAGCGACCCCTACATGGTTGTGAAGCTGCGGGCCAATGGGTGGGAGTCGCCCACACAGCAGACTGAGCACATCAGCCAGAACCTCAACCCGAAATGGAACAAGTCTCTGACCTTCACTGACCTGCCGCCCGGCGCTGCTGAGAGGGGCGTGGAGTGCGTGTGTGAGGTGTATGACTATGACATGATCAAGTCGCGGGGTGGTGATGATTTCCTTGGCTGCATGACCGTCCGAGTGCCGCCACACAGCCTCCAGGTGATTGACACATATGGGGAGGGAGACACGGAGACGCAGCAGACACAGCACAGACACATTCCCTGCATCTCTCTCTCTCTCTGTGTGTGTGTGTGTGTGTGTATGTATTTGTGTCAGTTTGGCACTGGTGATGTGGTGGAGCGGTTGGTGGCCAAGGAGGGGGTCAGGTCCAAGGTCGATGTCAAAGGGGAGATCGTGTTGGGCTTCTCGTGGCAGCAATAATTAGGTCATGGGCGGATGGACGGCTGAGTGCGTTCGTGCAGTGGGTCATCCATCAAATGCAACGAGACACAGGCCCTTATGCAGCAAAGGATTTGTTCCGTCTAATGCAGTCTTCGGATAGCAAGCCAACAAATTGAAATTCAATACAAATGCAGGCAACGATCGATGTTGTTTCTCTATCCCCGACAGACAATCAGCCAGCACCATGCATCTCCACAACACTACGGCAAACAATGACCATCACCCAAATGTAAATCAGCAAGCTTAGCTTCAATTGCTTAGCTTCGGACCCCCTCCTCGTTCTCCATTGGAGCCACGACATCTGAGCCTCAGTGTGCTCACAACACCCTCTATCGTATCAGCCTCGTTTGTCTGTGGTGGTGTCAGCCCCATAAATTGCCCCACAGCAGCTGCCCACAGGCGAGAAAGGCCCCAGGACCGCTCAGCGACAATTGCAGACGATTCAGCACCGGCAGTCAGGTAAGAAGAGGCACTAAGAGCCCACATGCACCGACTTTGAGGGAAAATGCCCCAGAAATGGCAATGCGAGCTCCTCGATGTGCTGCCTCTGTGTGCACAGCTTTGGTGTGGTCATTTTCGTCAACTGAGGAGATTCGGTAGGGCCAACTATGCTCAGAGGCAAGAAGGAGTCACCTGCAAAGGTATTTGGTGGAGATGGACCACCCATTCTCTCTCTTGACCAGCTGGGAGTCTTTGTGTGTGTGTGTTGCAGATGCCACTGGTCCTCATCCCGGTGCTTGCCGCTGTTTCGTTTGGGCTGCCCCCTCCCAAGGACGTACCCCCTAGGCACGTAACCTTCTGAAAGCGCATCATTTCAAACTCGCAGCTGGTCAACGTGTTTTTTCGTTCCTTCACCCCTCTACGTACCTTTTCATTCGGTGCTCTGGCCGACGGATTTTTTCGCATGCTGGTCACAGAGCAGAACGCAAAATTTCATTTGGAGGATGACGAACGAAAATTTTCATTTCCCAGCGCGATCCATGGTGGGGGAAGGTGTACGTAGAAGCCATGGCGGCTTTTGATGAGGTCCTTGATGCGGTCCTCCACCGCAATATTTCAAATGGCCGCTGTCTGGACTGCACATTTTCATTCGCCTCGCTGTTCCTCGATGCACTTTTTCAATCCTCGCTGTCTCCGACGCATTTTTTCATTTCGGGCGGTCGCCCAGCGCACATTTTCAAAAAACGAACATGCTCAGCGTAACGTGTCCAGGGGGTACAAGGACGACACAAATGACGCTGGCACGCTCACACTCATGAGACACGACCGACACACCCATCCAGTTGATGGCGCATTTCTTCCGTGTATGCGTGTGCAGCCTCGGATGCATCCGTCAAGGGCGCGGCGAGTTCCAGTGGCGGCCTGTCGTCGCTCTCCACCAAGACACAGACCGGCAGCAATGGCAGCGACGGCAGGGACAAGGACGACAGCAAGAACGATGGCATCAAGAACGTCAAGAAAAACGCCATAGCCAAGAAATCCAAGGTACAGATGTACTGTAAGGGAGGATGATGTTCAGACGTCATGTGTGTGGATGGATGGATGGATGGCTTGGCTTCTGCGAAACAGATGTCCAAGACCACCCGCAAGACCAAGCGCACCGGCAAGATGACCTGCTTCGAGCAGTCAAAGGCCGCGGACCAGCCCTACAAGGCCGACCTGGCCAGGAAGGTGGCTGCCTTTGAGGCGGCGCACGTCCGGCTGAGCGAAGAGGACTTCGCTGCTGACCTGGCGCTCATCGAGACAGGTGCAGGTGCTGCGGAGTGGTTTGACTGACTGGACCGGTCGCTGATCGCCAGTATCCCTGTATAGGGGGCAGGGAGGGAGGGGTATATTGGGAAGTTCTCTGTGTGTTGTATGACTTCCTGCGTGGATGCGTCTCCTGGATGTGACGGTGGGCACTCATGACACATCGTGAGGACGCCGAGGCAACGACTGTGAAAAGCTGGTTCCATAATCGATGAGGTCAATCTGCAGCGGTCCGCTGCCATCCACTAAATGTATGCACGTGTATGAAAGCATATGCTATAGACGGGCACACGTATTCAATACAAAGACACGCACACACACACACACATACACACCAACAAGGCGGGACGCACACACGCTCTCGTTCTCTCTCACACACACACGCACACACATAGAAAGAATCGGAAAGGCCCGCCCGCTGCCTGGCAGGCGGGCCGTCTGAACCAACGATGGGAAAACCGACTGCTAACTCGCTCTCATGTGATTTCTGAATGTCGCCATCACCGAAGACAAGACACGCAGCGGATGGTGAGTCGGTACCACCACCCGCCGCACACTCGCCCCTGGTGAAGGGAACATGCCCAGAAGACCACAGAGAGACAGCAGGAATATCTATCTTACAATGACCCGACTTCACGTATGGGTGGGTGTTTGTTTCATATCCTTGGCGCCGTCATCCGGTGTCCCCTCTTCCCACCCACATACATCGCTGCCTCTTCATTGCATCAGACACTCAGCAGCAAGAGCGCCGACACAATGCAGCGGCCTCGCTGCAGGTGGGTGAGAAGCCGGCAACACACCAGACGGACCGCCAGCAGCAATGTCCACGACACAACGACAAATGTGTAGATGGAGAGATGGACGCAGGCACCGGAGAGAGAGAGAGAGAGCCGTGTACTCACATACACCCACACACACATCACCACCACAACTCACCTCACAACTCAGCATAAAGCCCAACCACAGCATCACTCACCCGTCGTCTCACACACGCAGGGCCCCCCTTGTCTGTCTCTACTCATGGCCCACCCAAACATAAGAAGAAAGCGCCGCCGGACCGCCCAGCCGATCGGTATCAAAAACGCAATCAAACCAAAATCTCAGAGGATAACACCGCATGTCAACAGGCAGGTGGGCCGGGAGGATCACGGGTTGACGGCGTTGGTTGCGGGTGTGGATGCGGACGTCGATGCGCTGGCGGACGTCGCTTGCTCGATGACCCCCTGGGCTGTAAGCACGTCGCGCTCCTCCTGTGTGGGCAGAATGTGCTTGCCCGCCAGCTCCTCCAACACGCGCTTGAAGTACCCATCGTCGGGGTATCCAAAGTTGGCCGACCCTGGGGGGTACAGAGAGAGAGGGAAATGGGTGTGGTTGCCCTCCTGTGCTGCCTGAGTGGTGAGCGTGAGTGTGATGGTCCTACCTCCGACAGGTTTGGTTTTGACGTGGACGCCGTTCCACACAGTCGTGTTCTCGGCGCCCGTCGTCACACTCGACCCCACTGTGAACATGTGACCCTGCACACAACACAACACAACACACAGAGACGTCGCATTGGCATTGGTGTGTGGGGGGGTGTGTGGGTGTGTGTGGGGGGCAACCAACGTACGTGTTCGAAGCATCTGATGAACATTTGTGCGATGGCGCGTCCAGTGGGTGTATCGGGGAGGTAGCCGGTGCGGCTCGTGCCGCGATACCGGTGTCCCTCACTCATCATCTTGCGACCTGATCAAACCAGCACACACACAGTGGCATGCGTGAGCGCTCTCCTTGTCTATGTGTGTGAGGGGCAGGGCAGACCCACCCTGTATTCCGTCTGGGAATGACCAAGTGATGGTGACGGTCTTGGTGCCCTCGTGGCCCTTCAAGACCGGCTCGTCACCAGTGGTCCACTCCATCGCACCTGACACACACACCCCGAGCAGATGTGATGTGTGGACGATCCAGATGTCTGTGTGTGCGCGCGTGTGTGTGTGTTCAGCTGACTGACCACTGGGCTGCGATCCATGTGAGTAGAGCTTGACCGCGTTGCAGAGGGGGCACTTGAGGTGGCCGCTGCCGTATTTGGCCATATTGTGTACACACTCCCGGTGGAACACGTGGGGGCAGTCGCCCACAAACCTCACCAGGTCCTCACGCAACTCGTCGTGACATATGCTGCAGACGGCACACGCCTCTCCCCCGCCCTCCCCCTCCCCCTCCTCTCCCTCTCCCTCTCCCTCCCTCTCTGGCCGGTCCGGCACATCCTCGAGCACCGAGTCCACGTCCTCCTGCGGAATCGACTCGTCATTGTACGTGTAGATCTTCCGCCCGCTGCCGAATGAGTGTGTCGCGATCGACCCGCCACTTGCAGCAGAGGCCGAAGCACTGGCCGCATGGCCGCTCCGACGGCCGCCGGAATGCCTGCCGCCGTGTCCGTGGCCATGATAGGGTCCGTGTCGGTGTCCAGACGACTGTGCGTGAGACCGGCCGGCGGATTGGCGGGCGTGGTGGGACTGGGGGTGATGTCCATGGGGGTGTGGGGCGGCGCCTGGCATGACGTCCCTGCGCCTGATGTCGCGCTGTTGATTGGTGTGGAGGTTGGTCTGCTTGCGGTTGAAGAGGTTGGCCTCGTAGCGCTGGTTGTGGTGGGTGTAGGTCACCTGGCCGTTGTTGGCGCACAGGTGGCTCTCCACCTCCAGCTGAGTCGCGGTGGGCGCGTCAAACCTGCCACACACAAACAGACACACGGACCATGCTCATGCATAACACACCGTCGCGTGTGTGTGTGTGTGTGTCTTGTGGCTTACACAGTCCACCCCTGCTGCCCGCCTGCATCGAACTCCCACACGAAGTTGCCCACCTCCCGCCGGATGCGCCTCTGCACACCTAACATGACAACATCCCCACCACCAAGACGACACGACAGTCGATGACAAGCTCAGCTCCCCGGACACAGACACGTGCCCTTTCTGGCAGGTACCTACCGGTGTGTTTGTTTCTCTGCAGCATGTTGTTGAAGTCAATCTCGTAAGTCCTGGAACCGACGCCGAGGTCGAAGTTCCGCTGACCTCCGCTGTGGAAGTGCCTCTCGAGATCTCGCTGTGCGTGACCGTCCCACGGACACCACCCGCTGTGGTCGGTCTCCCACTGCCACACGACCGTCGTCGATGAGGCGCTCATCAGAGGAGCAGACGATGAGGATGAAGCTGACGCGTTGCCGTCAGTGACACGACGACGATTGAAGAAGGACAGAGAGCGGTGAAACAACGAGGGAATCGTGCCCATGGGCACGATGGAGTCACAACTGCATGGCGAGCTATTCTTCCTGCAGCCAAGTACTTTTCGCAGGAGTGCGACAGCACGGCACTGAGTAGTTGGCTGGGGGGAAACTTTGGGGGTAGTGGTTCCCCTGCGCGGTTTCACATCTGCCCTAGATATCCCGGTGGACAGCCGACTTTTCTTCGTGCTCATGAATTCGGACAGACAGCGACGCAGCGAGAGCCCTCATCAAACAGAAAACATGAGAGAGAGGCGACTTCGGCAACGACATCACCGATGGATCATGGCGCCCCTGCTGATGGTTGTGTCGTGGAGGTCCGCCTTCGCAGCCGCCATCTTCCCCTCCCATCAGCTCTCCCTCATCCCGCCCTCCCCTCTGTTGCATCCCGCTGGCAGTCGCCCGCCCTCCCGGTGGTCACCGCGCCATCCATCTTCGACGCGACACAAGGATGATGATGCGTTCCCTCTCCATGCCAAGACGTGGCTGCCCTTTCGCTATCGACGCAAATGCGACACCGACAAGCAGACCGACGGCGAGCCGGAGCCTCCTCCGTTGCCTGAAGACCTGGAGGAAGCTGCTGCGTACGAGTACGGGGCGACCCTCATGCTGCTCAATGAAACAGAAGGAGTGGAGGCGCCTGCACTATCCGCCAAGCCCATCCGCCGGCCGTTCTGGCGCCGCCTCTTCAAGAGGCTCGCCCCATCCAAGGGCTTGCGACAGCGGGGTGGGGCACGGCTGCTGAGGGAAAGATTGCGCAGGATGTGGCCCGAGTCGCTCTTCCTGCGGGCGGTGTTGCGCGGTTTCCGGGACCACATGAAGGCGGCCTCAGGGGCGAGAGGCATCAACTGGGAGGAATCAGACTATTTCAAGTGGATCGACTGGTCGGAGAGGGTCCGCAATGCGACGGACGGGCGGACGGTCATCCCGGCCTACTTCGAGGCGCCCATCCACGGCATTCTGGGAGGCAACTTGTGCATCACTCAGGCCGTTGAGCAGTCAGCGGCCATGAGTGCGACCATGATGCTGTTCCAAGGGGTGCGCTGCTTCCGCAAGGAGGCTCTCAACCGCCTGCAGGACGACATCGAGTCTGCCGGCCCCCCGTCCACACATGTGCCGTCGATTGACGAGTGGCAGCAGGAGGGCGCGGCGGTGCACGTCGACCATCTGCTGCCCGCTGTGCCGGTGCTGGTGGACCAGGCTGGCCAGGAGGACGTCAATGCGACGGCGGACATGGTGCCGGTGTCGCGCATCAAGCGCATCCTTGACGTGGGCTGCGGGACGGGCGACTCGACTGCATTGCTGCAGGCGCGCTATCCGAACGCAGAGGTGGAGGGGGTGGATCTCTCGCCACACATGATTGCTGTCGCCAGGTGGGGGGCATCGGCACACACAAGGGAGGAGGCGCGGAGGTGTTGTGTGTTCATTGGTGTGTGTGTGTGTGTGTGCAGGTATCGGTATCCCAATATGGTGTTTCACCACGAGGCGGGCGAGAAGACGTTCTTCGAGAATGACACGTTCGACATGGTCACCATGTTCGCCGTGGCGCACGAGCTGCCCAAGGGGGTCACCTTCAGGGTGCGTGGGTCGATTCTTTCCCACCCACCACCAACCATGCGAACGAGTATGTCTACGTGTGCGGCCCTTTCTCTCTCTCTCTGTGTGTGTTTTGCAGATACTGAAGGAGGCGCATCGCATACTGCGCAAGGGCGGCTGCTTCCTGTTCGTCGACCAAGACCCTGAGTCGCCCACAATAAGAAGACAGCTAGCCGTGAGCCACACACGCACTGGGAAGCGATATATATAGACGCCTATCTGCTTGTGTGCGTGCGTGCGTGTGTGTGTGTGTCTGTGTGATATAGGTGCCCGAGATCACGGGTTACATCGAGCCCTATTTGGCGGACTTCTGTTCCATCAACCTCCCCAAGTACTTCCGGCGGGCGGGGTACAAGGTCATCACCACAAACAGGGAAGGCGTCTTCGTCGCAGTACTCGCCAGAAAGGTACACACACACACACACGCACATTCTCATATGGATGCATCGATCGCCGTGCATCCCTGTGCTGTGCTGTGCTGTGCTGTGCTGTGTTGTCTGCAGCTGGATGAAGGCGAGCTCTCTGACGACGACGAACTAGAGGAAGACACACTGGTGGTCGGGGATGATCCCATCTTAGAGCAGACGGCGGAAGAAGACAAAGCGGACGTCCTCACGCCGTGCTGACCATCATGGTGGCCTACCGAGAGATAGCGCCCCTGGCTGTTAGTCATATTTGTGTACGTCGCGTGGTAGACAGAGAGAGAGGTAGGCCCGTTGACCGAGCGAGGGAGCAGTGTGTGTGTAAGTCGTAAGTCGTGTAGAGAGAGAGAGGTAGGGAGGGACGCAGTAAGACTCTGAGAGAGGGGGCGCAGTGTGTGTGAGTGTGTCGTCACGGTGCTGTGTGTGTGCTTGGTCTTCGTCGTTTAATCCGGGCACCCGGTGCCGGGCCGCCCGTCGTGGCTATTGATGATAAGAGACAGACAATGGAGGCCAACACACACGTCCCTCCCGTGTTAGCCTCCGAGGTGTTACAGTGTGCCTGAGGGGTTTTTCTGGTACTAACGCCCCCCAATTCGATTCGGCCCTTTTGCCCACCGACCAGATGGCTGGCTGCTGCGCGTGTCAATACGGCTGCCGTGCGTTGCTTTGTCGTGTGTACAGACAGACAGACAGACAGACAGGAAGCCATTGACATTTCTTCACTGCCTCGTTCGTTGCCAGTCCGCCAGTGTCCCGTGCACACATCGAGGGCGAAATGGGCGTTGTCCCACCAGACGGACGGCCCCAGTTTCAGTCACGATGTGTGCACGCCACATGGCGGAGGGCAGACGAGGCGTCGAGCTGCTCGTGGTGTTGCGGGCGGGTCCTCTGTTCTGTTTTCCGTTTCTCATCTACAGTGCCGGACCTTTCTGCAATGCGCTCACTCGTGTGTGTGTGTACCATATGGACGTGTCTCTCTCTGTATGTGTGTGGTTTGTGATGTCAGTCATGCGCTGTGTAGGATAGATAGAGGGGTGTGCATATCCTTGAAGGCGGGAGAGGGAGAGGGAGAGGAGAGCCGTATTTGTTTGTGAGTTGAGTGAGGGGTGCAGGGATGCACTCACTGCAGTCACGCTGCGGCAAGAGAGAGAGAGAGAGAGTGCATGTGTGTGTGTGTGTGTGTGTGTTGAGCGAGGTTTGAGGGAACCAAGAGTTGGAGGGCTGGACCTGCCTGACTGTCAGTCACGTCACATCACATAAAGGGATTATTATCATCACAATGACACGTGTGAGTCCATCCATCCAGTCGTCCATTGTCCTTGAGTGAATTATACAGCCCACACACATACACACACCTATCCAGGAAATAACCAACCACCGCACGAGCACACACCACACACACATTGCTTGTCCCGTTCTCGTGGGTGAACTGTACTAATTAGGAAGACCCACCCTCCTTGCACCCATACCCCCACACGTACCCAGCAGCAGGCGGCACACACAGCTCAGCTCTGCTCTGCTCTGCCCCGGCCTCATCTGATGTGATAAACACGCATTTGTCCACACACACGTACAGAGAGAGATACTACAGCGGTGACTGACTGACTGACTGATCGATCAACACAACACAACACACCACACCACGCTATAAAACTCACAGCATGGCGCACCAGCCCCCATGACATGACATGTGTGCACTTTTGACACCCTCACCCACCCCACCCCACCCCTCCCCCACCCAATTACATGTGGTAGCAGTCGGCTGCATCGTCGTTTGCTCCCGCACCTTGCCACGCCAGACCATCATCCGTGTACACAGATGATGGTTCAGCGTGGCACGGTGGACAAGAACGACGACGCGCGAGACCGCGTAGAAAACACGACAACACCACTTTTGCCCCCCCCTCCCTCCCCCCTCCCCGGCGTCTGTAGGTTACGTCTCTTGAAGATCGGTCTGCACTTCTTGTCCGCGCGTGCCGGTGCACGTGTTAATGCAGCATGAATACACATACGCGCCTGCACCATAGACAGACAGGGAGGCTAGATCGCTACATAGATACCCTACCTCTCGCTGACTGACTGACTGCCCTATGGGTCTGTGTGTGTGTGTCAGTGTGTGTTTAGCTAGTTGACTAATTGGGTGGGTGGTGTTGTATATCAAAAGTTACATGCTGCTTCGAGGTTAGAGCAGCAGGGCAGCCACGAGCACATGGTGACCTTGTCGCCATTCTTGACGTCCTGCGACGCTAGGTGAGCGAAAATCTCACGCTCTGATCAACAACCACACACACACACACACACACACACACAACACACACACAGAGAGAGAGAGAGAGAGATGTGTTTGTGTCCTCCCTCCCTCCCCTCCGGCATGGTGTTGTCGCTCCACCACCGACCTTGTATGCTGAGGTCTGTCGGCCCGGCGGCCGCGGGGTTGATCTGCAGGAAGTAGATCTCTGCAGAGAGGGACGAAGGGAGGGAGACAGGCGCTCAGAGACGTCCAGCAGCTGTGTAGGAGCACTGACTGATTATGCCTACTGTGTATGAGGTCGGTGAAGGCCCGCTGGGTGCCCTCACAGGTCGCCACGGACGTCTCCACAAACCCGTTCATATCTACACAGACATACCCACACACCGCACCCCCACACACCACACACCACACTCTACACAAACACAACACACAACACACCCCTCTCTGTCTTCCTCTCCCTTGCTGACACACCGACCGTTGAATTCGGCGAAGCTCATGGCCTCCTCCTCAGCGACCTCCCTGTGCTCGTTCATGTCCTTCTTCTGCCCCACCAGCACCAGCGTCATGCGGGGATTGCCATGCCGCAGCTCCGTGATCCACTGCTGGCACTGCAGAAACGACGTCCGGTTGGTGATGTCGTACACCACCAGCGCACCGTGCGCCTTGCCGTAGTGGGCGCGACACACCGCACGATACCTCTCGTGGCCAGCTGCAGGGAGGTAGCAGAGCAGACGACAGACAGGGAGTCTCTCCGTTCTATGTGTGCCGGGCTGGGAGGGGTGGGGTGGGGGAGGTGACTTACCCATATCCCAGATCTGCGCCCTGACGGCGACGCCGTTCCTGAGCCTGATGTCTTTGGTGGAGAACTCCGCCCCGATGGTCGACAGGCCTGAACCGCGACTCCTCTGCAGCGCACGGCCCTCCGTGAAGCTCTTGATCAAATCAGTCTTGCCTGCGCAGCAGCACAAACACCCAAACACACCAACGGGCCGCCGTCAGTTAAGAACACTGAGAGTGTCGGCGGTGCGTCTTACCGACTCGGCACTCCCCGACGACGAGGATCTTCATCTTGATGGTCTCCGCTTCGCCGTTTGTTGCCGGCGCGTTGAGAGGCGCGTTCTGCACACAAACCATAAGGGGATCAGTTCAAGGAGCCTCATCTGCCGTCGCGGCGGCCATCTGCTCGGCTTACCATGGGCGTGTTGGGCCCGGTGGACATCGTGGCTGCGGAGTGTGTGGCCACCGGTGCGTTAGAATACATCATCTGTTCTCCCTTTCCTTTCTCGTAGATCCAACGTCACCACTGGTGCTGCTTTGTTGTCGCCACCTGCTTGTCACTCCTCTCAGCGCCTTCGCTCACCTCGGCATCTGCGAGCTTAGACTTGGCGAGCTTGGCAAAGGGAGTGCCTCCCCCTGTGGATGCGCCTGCGCAGGCTGCTTGCAAGAGGTGAAATCCGCTGAGAACAGATCTCCGTGTCCTGCCGGCGCGATGCGTGAGACGGTTGATCATGATGGACCTTCAGAGCCGCACTGGGACAGCACGCTCGGCGTCTGGGTTGGCTCCAGGGCACGGGCAGACGACTCCTTTGTCGTGCCCAGCCCGCTGTGGCTCTTCGGCTATGGTTCGCTCTGTTGGAAGGCTGACGTGCCGTACGAGGAACAGTTCGTGGGCTTCATCCAGGTGGGTGCGCGGAAGCACGAGACGGAAGACACACATGAGAGGACATGCAAACATTTCGTCTGTGTGTGTGTGTGTCATCTCATGTCAGGGGTATGAGAGGAAGTTCTTCCAGGCGTCGATGGATCACCGCGGCACGCCCGCCTCCCCCGGCCGTGTGGTGACGCTCGTCAAGCACGCCCACCCCGCATCTGTCCCCCTCTCTGAGGCCGAAGGCCTCGTACACGGCGTCGCGTACAGAATACCCGACGAGCGCGTCGAGGAGGTGTTGGATGCACTCGACTACAGGGAAAAGGGAGGGTGAGCGGAGGCCAGCTGTGCGCATGAATCTGCACGAGCAAAGATGCGCTTGTCGACGTATTTGTAGGTATTCTCGGTTGCTGCTGGATGTGACTGAGTGGTGCGCTGACGGGAAGGAGGGCGGCCGGCGAGTGACGGCTCTGGCCTACTGCGGGAACGAGACCAATCCCGCATACGATGCCTTCGATGACGAGAGCGACGAGGGGCTGCAGCAGGCAGCACACCGCATCTTCTCATCCACGGTGAGTTCACACACAAGTCACAATGAGCAAATGGACCCATCTCCCTCTCTGTGTGCTGTGTGTATATATCAGGGCCCCTCTGGTCCGAACCGAGAGTACCTCTATCGTCTTGGCGACTTCTTGGAGGCCATCAAGGTGCACGACCGGCATGTGGCGGAGCTGGTGCGGCGGGTGAGGCTGCTGGAGGGGAAGAACGACGAGCCGTGCAGGGGCGCATAGCGACATAGCAACACAGTGCGGGGGACATCGCATGGTGGCATCTTGCTTTCATCATGTACAGACAGATATCCTGACTTGAATGTATAGCTTTCTGTTTGGACGATTGAGCTACGGATCGGCCTGTGTTGCTTTCCCCTCGCTCAGCAGCTTTCCCCCGGTACGTCTGAACCAGGTCATCCAACTCAGTGACGCTGACACATCGCGTCACTGAGTGGGATGGCGTGGAGGGGACGGACGAGAAGAAAGTTGCGAGCAAGACGGAAAACAGCCGTGTTCTGACAGCTTCCTGTCCTTCATTGTGACCACATGTCTTCTGTCTTGGTGTGCATGAGCTTCCGGCACGTAAGCCACAGTTCCATCACAGTCGGCTGTCGATGGAGCTGCCACTTACGTGCTGCCGTGTCGATGCAGGCGAGACAGAGGGCAGACAGGCTGGATTCGTAACTGCGGACGTGATGTGAACCGATTTCTAACGAGTCAGCTGTTTGTCTCATATACACACATACACATACGTGAGGATCGTCTCACCGCCATACACAGCTCATTCCTCATTCCCAACACGACACGACCACTCAGCCGACCAACAATCGTTTGCTGAAAAGGAACTCTCTGTCTCCTTTCACACAGACACACCGGCCGACGGGCAGTGCACACACGCGAAACATTGCACCGACAGGAAACATTGGTCGCCTTGAGCAGTTTCCTGTCGGTCCAGACCTACAGAGGACTTGGCCGTCAGGACGCCTAGGGTGCTCCCTGAAACCGCTGCTGCTGAGCTGGAGGGAAGAGGACAAGGAGTGTAGCAGTCGGGAGGCATGGAGCAAGCCTCACTGATCTGCTTTCCGTCGGTGATCTTGCCTTCTGATGGGCGATGAATGACACTTGCAGACGCCTTTCCAGCCGTGGACGTTGCTGACGGCGGCATGACGGCCGCACTCAGACGCATCATCGCTCCGATTCAATTTGGCGGGTGATCCGGACGGGTAAGAGGCAGCAGAACGAGTCCATGAATTCATCTCACCCGCGGACGGCTCTTTCTCCTGCTTGTCAGCCTCCGACGCCTCACTGCTAGTGGCAATGGACCTGCCAAGTGCCATTGACCGCGACCTGCTTTCGCGCCATGGAGCCCTCTGCGCGATTGACAGACAGATCGTGGGCCCGCTGGAGGAGCTCGAGGCCGAGCAGAACCGCATCGACGCATCGTACGACATCGACGAGCTGCTGAGTCTTCATGGCGCATCCGACGGCTCGGCGGCCTCTGGCGATGACCAGCTGGACCTCAACGTGGGCGGCCGGTCGTTCACTGTCCGTCGCAAGGACGTCACACGGCCGGACGGCTCGGTGATGGCCTCCCTGTTCGGAGGCAAGTGGGACCGCCGTTTGCCGAGGGACGACAAGCAGCGGATTTTCATCGATGCGGACCCGCGGGCCTTCGAAGTGATCCTTAGCAAGATGAGCGAGGAGGGCTGGGAGGAGGGAGTGGATCTGTTGAAGAGCAAGGCACGAGCCGGACTCTTCAGCGGTGGGCTGAATCCAGCCACCACATGCACTCACTGCTCTTCCCGTGCTGTGTGTGAGTGAGCAGGTGGTGTGTGCGATTGGATCCGCTTCTGGCTCTCACCCCCTGCAGCAGCAGACGGCGAGGCGGCACACGACCACATAGAACCACCCTCGCCCGCCATGTCGGCCGTCGCGCTGCCGGAGCAGCTGAAGGGCCTCATGAGTGTCATGCAGAGGTTCGCCAAGACCTTCGCTGCGAGGTTAGCTGAGCTGGAGAGCGAGCGGGCGGCGAAGAAGGCCCGATACGACAAAGTGATGGGCGAAATCAAGGTGAGAGGGGCGGAGGAGAGAGGGAGAGACAAAAGGTGACGGACTGGGTCGATGGACTGGTCCGTGGCTCTGTGTGTGCGTCACAGGCGGTCGCTCCCTTCCTGCGGCCCCTGAGTGGTGATGAGTCCATTCGCTCCATCCGAGTAGTGTCGGAGGACGACGAGTGGCCCGATCTGGAGGACGACAGGCGGCCCTATGTGGTCATCAGCACCACTCAGTCGACTCTTCAAGAGACCACCAGCAGCCTGCGAAATCGATTCGACTTGTAAAGTGCACAGCCACCGGGACCCATACACTCACCGGGACAGTGAGGGGATGAATCGTGTATGTGTGGACTGCTGTCGCCCTGCAGGTACAGTGCTCCGGTGAAGCGTATACCTGCCGACCACTTCAGCGAGTAAGAAACACGCCAACCGAAGCAGAGTTCACGTGCAACAACAAACCTGCAGGATCGTCGACTATGCGCGTCGTCGTCGCATCCTGCCTGACTGCACCCCAGTGGCCCCGCCCACCACCACGAGCGACAAGATGGACCAGCTGCTGCTCGCGTGCGACATGTACGGCATGCTGAAGCACACTTACCCACACATACTCACCGACCACGATATGCACAAGCTCGCCCGCACGATCACCTACAATCAGCCAGCCAAGCTACACCGCCTCTTCACGTGAGGCGCGCAGACAGGAAAACCAAGCCGACAGACACCCCTCTCTCCCTCATCATGTGTGTGTTCGTGTGTCTGTGCGGTGCAGGAGCGATGCTCACCGCTCATCGTTCGACAAGCTGCTGCAGCAGGTGGGCGACGCCCAAGGTCTCGTGCTCGTCGTCCATCCCCAGGACGACGATGGCCGTGTCAAGGCATCCCACATCGACGGGCGGCTCATCCAGCCCCCTAGTGCCACATCCCCTCGCACCATCGAGTGCCCCGTGGCCCTCTTCTCGATGCGTGAGACGTCCACCAAGGGCCTGGAAGAGGTGGAGGTGCCACAGGGCGAGCAGCGTGTGACCGTCGCTGGGGCTGGTGGCGGGAGGCTGTACATTGGCGGCGGTTGCCTGGTGCTGGGTATGGGCGGCGATCTTCGTCGGTGTCGCCTGAGGCTGAAAGGCGGGGACGAGCGCGAGTTCACCGCACAGCGGCTGGAGGTGTATCAGGTCAGACAAAGGGTAACTGACGAGGGGAATGAATGCGATTGCATCCGCGTGTGAGAAACTTTTTTCCTTGATGTCTGTCCGCAGTTGGAGGTGGCCGTAGACAAGGCCGCAGTGACGTCGGCCATCGATGGCCTGATCGAGCAGAAGGGCCTTCTCGGCGTCATCGACTACCAGCCGCTGCGTCAGTCGGCCAGCCCCCGTCAGTTGATTCGCCTGCAGTACTTCCTCGAGAACGGGGGCGACTGGGCGGCTAGTGCGGCGCTGCTCCGCCTCGCCAAACGGTACAGGTGGATCCAGCAGCTGCCCATGCAGTTGAACGAGGGCGACGTGGAGCGTGCGGGCAGCCGCGCGACATTCGAGAGGCGTGCAGCGAGCCTCCGGCAATGGTCCCTCGTCGGCCATCGACTGGGCCGTGACATGGCGCTGACGCGGACTGATGGCGGGGGAGAGATGCTGGGGAGAGAAGCTGTGGTAGTGCGTGCTTCCGGTAGCAAAGACCCCCCGTGCAGCTGTAAGACGAAGACGAAAATGGGGGAGAACTGGCACGTTCATCTGTGTCGTCTCCTGGATGTCTCTGTCTCTCCCTCTGCAGTTGCAGGTGATGCGTATCAGAGTTTCAGCGATATTGTTCTCTCTCGGCTCGCTCGGTACGCAGCCAGCCGTTGTCTTGGCAACACAAGACGGTGTCTTCTCCTCTTCGCACTTGCAGGACGGCCGAGCGGAGGTCGCGCATGTCAGCCAGCAGGGTGTATCCTGCGCCATCGGCCGCGCATGACCGCATCGCTACGCTCATAGCCCAACCGTTGCCACTATGGGGCAGCCACAAAGTAGTCGACACCGACCCGCACACTGGCGACAAATGGCGATGGGTCCTCCTGTGCGGTGACAAGGCGGGGGACGCGTTTGCGGCACACGTCTGGATCAGACTCTCTCGTCCGCCATCTACTATCGCCCTGTACAGCACGGAGAAGCCCCGAGGTGATGGCAGGGGCGCGGCGGGCAATCCCCTGGCAGTGGCCCTCGCAGCCACGAGGATGGGTAGCGATTCATGGCTGATCCCGGCCGTCCAGAAGGCGATAGCTACAGGTATGTGTGGAGAATCGAATATAAAAGGGGAGATGATCGACACACGAGAGTGAAGCAGACGAGCAAAACCTCACAGACTCTGTGGGCGTGTTTGTGTCTGTGCAGGTGGTGGTGATGGTGGTGGTGCCGGCGGCCCTGTAGCCCAGCGGCAGCTCCCACTCGCACAGTTCCCGACTCGTGCGGCTGCCCGCCCCCCTCCCCCAGTGAGTGCCCGCCCCCCTCCCCCACTTACTCAGCCCTCGTCGGTCACAGTAGGGTGCATCAGGACGGCCGAGCGGAGGTCGCGTATGTCAGCCAGCATGGTGTATCCTGCGTCTCCTGCGTCGTCTGCCGCGAATGATAGCATCACTGCGCTCATGGCCCAGCGGTCGCCAGTATGGGGCAGCCACACCGTAATCGACTGCACCGACCCGTACACTGGCCTCACAACGCGACGGGTCATCTTGTGCGGTGATAAGGTGGAGGCACAAATCAAGATGACCACATTCTCTGGTGGGTCGTCTATCGCCCTCCACAGCAGCGAGGAGCCCCATGGCGATGGCGAAGGCGTGGCGGGCAGTCCCCTGGCAGCGGCCCTCGCAGCCACGAGGATGGGTGGCGATGCGTGGCTGATCCCGGGGGTCAGTGAGGCGATAGCTACAGGTATGGATGAACACCAGGTGGGATGGGATCGACGCACGAGAATGGAGCAGACAAGCGAAGCCTCACGGGCTACATTGTGTTTGTTTTCAGGTGGTGGTGATGGTGGTGGTGGTGGTGGTGCCGGTGACTCGGTACGTAGCGAGCGGGATGCCACTGGGGAACTCGGTAAGTCAGTTTCGTCATCCACAGCTAGTGTTAGTGTTCTTCTTCTGGTGTGTCAGGTTCGGTGGTCGGCGGTGCGGTGGGCGGTGGTCGAGGTAGCTGAGCGAGACAGGTAAGTCGCACACCTGTACACACGACATGCACTGCAGACACCGTGATTCAGCTGGTGTGTGGTGGCTGGTGTTTGTGCAGCAATCGGCTCACTCACTGGACGGCGGCATGCATGATTGACGTCAGTCGAATCGATTTGGAGTTGGCCTGGCCTGATGGATGTGATGTGCTGCATGGTGACATGAATCAATGTGTCAGACACATTCAGACACATTCTTTCTTTCATTGTGCCCTTTATATCAATGTGTGTACATAACACAAATTAGAAGGATCAACACCTGCACGAGTGTCTTGGTCCACCCCTTTCCCACCCACCCACCTTGTGTTCGCGACACAGCTCATTCCTCACTCTCAACACGACACACCCACTCGCTCAATCGACCCATCACATACGTCACGCTTGCGTGCTGACATAGAGCTTTCGTCTCTATTGTTCCTCTCTCTTCACCGGCCGATTAGACGGGCATCTGCACACACGTGAAACATTGCACGGTCAGTCACATGGCTGCGCACACATCCTCTGCTTGGTCTGCTGGTCTGCTTTCGTACTTCCAGAGCTGATGAGCCACTGTGTGCCGTCGGCTTGCCGCGGACAGCGGGCTTCTTGTGCTGGTCGCCGGGTGTCCGCCCGTGGGCCGCTGATGGGCACTCAGGCAAGTGTATCATCTTCTCGTCAGTGCATGTGTTGATCCGCTGCAGGCAAGTCATGGGCGTCCTGCAGAGACGCATCCATGGCTACACGGACAGCACGTCTCGCTTGATCGGTTCGTTGCCTACTTGTCCTCTGTGTTTGGGTCTTTGAGGCAATGGCCGGAAAGCATTTGTGTGAGGGACTTGCCGCTGTCAGTCAGGTCAAGCGGCCCCATGGCGATGAAGTAGTCCTGAAACTCCTTCTTCGTCTTGAGGGTAGGCACATCTTGATGGTGCCTGAAGAGACACATGCCATATGCTCCTGCCAGCGTCTTTGTCCATCCCGCGCCACACTCACCCACCTTGTGTTGGCGACACACTGGTCGGGCCCCTCTGTCCGCGAGTAACCCACCTCCTCCCCACTCACTTTGAAGCTAAACGGTCCCGTCTCCTGTCCGTACTCCCGGTTGCCCTCGTTGACGCAGTCGACTCGCAAAATCATGGCGCTTCCCGCGTTCAGGATTGCGTGTGCCGCTGCTGTGTCCCATTCCTTAAGGGGTGCGATCCGGGGATAGATCTGCATGCGGCAAGGGACGCGGGGAGGGACACAAGATCTCCATCGCCAAAGGACGCCCATGTGTCTCGTCCGTACGTACCACATTGTAGAGCTTTCTCTTGGCAAATTTCGATGGACGCATCGACGGCCCACAAACAGGTTCTGGCCGGCGCGAGACATGACCAAGGTCGTAGAACCACAGCAACTCAGGGTCTAAAACCATCAGAAATTTCTGCACACACATCGGAAAGGGAAACACATTCATTCATTGTCATCGTTGGTTGTCTATCAGACCCGCCTCTCTCACCCACCAGGAATGAGCCAAATCCTTGAAAGTTCTTCCCGCTTGCCTGCACCTGCCGGAATTCAAACCTCGGGCCGTCAGGATGGCGCGATAGAAAGTACTCGTAGGCGTCGATGGCATCGTTGGGGTTCATGTCACTGCCTATCGCCTGCACCAGGCTACCAGGCCTGACGTAAGGGGCAGACACTCCCTGGATACACCCCTCGCCATACGCCGTCAGCGGCACATTGAATGTCGCTTTCTCGTGCATGCTGCGGGCGCTTCCCTCGTTCCACGAGCTGTCTCCCGTGTACACCAGACGACAGGCGCGTCTCGCATCGGAACCCTCGACAGCCACATCGTTACTGGGGACAACGCCATAGTATGCTATGCGCTTCCATGGCACGGTGATGACTCCCGCCACTGCCTTGTTCTTGTGGATGAGGGCCACCATGACCGTCCATTCCGCAAAGAGGACTTTCTTCATCTCTTGGTAGAGCCTTAGGCGAGAAGAAGTCTTAGAGAGGCCTTTGGCGTGCTTGATCCAGACCCTGGCATCGTCGGCATAGACACTTGTGCCGTCCAGGGGATCCACCAGCCAGTATGCCTCAGGGAACCCTTCGGTGCTCTCCTCTTCACTGAGCGCGTCGATGCCTTTCCATCGCCGGAGAGCAGTCAGGCCTTCTGTCTTCTTGAAGACCATCTCCTTCTCCGGTTTGCCCTTGTCGTTAATGGTGGTCTTGCCCGTCTCGGTCCACTTGCCACCCCGGATGTACTCGTCACTCAAACGATCAGCTGACGTCACCAAATCTGCACTGATGCACCCACAGACAGACAGACAGTCAGACAGAGACATCGCCAATCGACCATGTCTTAGCGTTGCAAGTGGGCACCTTTCGGGTCGTCTTTGCTCCCCACTTGCAGCTTTCCTGAGGAGGGCGCATCCCTCAGATGCTCGACGATTTTGAAGCCGGCCCCGATGGCAAGATTGACAACCGCCGACTAGGGTACCGCCGACAGGTCGATTTCGACTGTGTCGGCTCCCTTCACAGGCAAAGAGAACTTGGGGTGTTCGCAGAAAGCATCATGGGATGAGACGGCTGCACCACACATCGGAGAGCGACGGCGTCAGTCTTTCTTTTGTCTCCAATTTTGTCCTCAGCGGGAACCTCTCACCTGACACAAGAGGCAGTGCAAAACACAGAAAGAGCAGGGCCCATGGCTCGAAGGCACGCAGCAGGGCCTGGGTCGCACCTGGCTCCCATTCTGTAAACGTTTACCTCATCGATCTTTGTCTCTACGTTTTTGTCCGCGATTGATAAGGCTGGATTTCGCCTTCAGTTGGTCAAGATGGCGTGCGATCTGCCTCTGCGCAACAACTGGAGCGTCTTCGGCCAGCTGACGGGTAGCCACAGCTCGTACATCGATAGCCTGAAGCTGCTGGGCGACTTCGCCACCGCCAAGGGCTTCTGGAAGCTCTGGCTCAAAATCTCCGGACACATGCTCGATGCAAACAGGTGAACGGCCACGGCCAAGGGGCAGAATGGAGCCAAAATGCACATAGAATCTGATCCGCGGCGGGGATGGAAAGATGGCGTGGCACCGCCATCGCATGTCCGTTGTGTGTGTCAGTTGCTATGGTGCGATTGCGGTGTTCAAGGACGACGTGCTGCCGATGTAGGAGGACAAGGACAACGTGGGCGGCAAGCGTGTGGTGCTGACGATGGACCTGGCCGACGCTGGCGTGCCGGCCAGTGTGGCGATGGGTGAGGCCTACCGCGTGTGGACGCATGCCGTGCTGGGATGCATCGGGGCGTCGGTGGAGCCATACGCCATCATCACGGGCGTGCGCATGGTGAGGAGTAGACCCTATGGGGGCGGGAGGACCGTGTGTGAATGGTCCGGTCCGTCGGTGTGTGCAGGTGAAGAAGTCTGATTCGGTGCGTGTGGAGGTGTGGTTCGCCAAGGCTGACACCCGTACAGACACACACACACACAGGGCTGGATAGACATTCATGCATGCATCGATGCGTCCGCATGACTGGCTGGTGCAGGTGACCGCTGTTCGCTGCGCAGTGACATCATGGAAGCCATCAACACACAAGTGGTCAGTGCAAACACGTGCAATCGCAGTACAAACACGCGGCTGCATGTGTGTCTGTGTGTGTGTGTGTTTCTGCAGGAGGGCCAGCAGCGTGTGCACATTCCCCTGCGCCCCGCCATCAAGCTGCATAGACGCCAACCCCACAACTGACACACAAACATAGGCCACTCAAACTACAGCAAGGAAGGGTAGCTATCTCTCTCTCTGTCTGTGGCTCTCTCCATCTTTCTCTCTTTTCCTTTTGTGACCACCTGTGCAGAGTGTGCGGACGTGTTTCTGTTTCGTCTCGTGCGTGTGTGAATGCATGACAACGCACATGTATTTGTTGCATTCGATCCGACTGCATGACAGACGAACGTCTCGATCAAGAAAGGTCTGCCAAGTCCATTCACATGTCCAAAAATCAAATTTGTCGGCTGCTCATCGACAGCTGCACAAAGCACAGGAACGACTCAGATAGAAAAGCACGACACGGAACATACAAACACCAAGGGCACGTAATCCCGACTGCAATAAGCACTGCGATTCTCACAAGACAAGGAGGCATCCTCATGTAGAGATCACACCGTGGACAGTCGATCATGCTGCCGTGCGGTTTGTCCTCTCAGTCGAAGACAGAGCACTCGCAGAGAGAGGCCGGGGGAAGTCGACGGGCAGGGGCAGGAGGGAGTCACGATTGATGGCAGGGGCGCGGCCTCTCACAACCTACAGACACGATGCATCACACGGGTCATCGCTGTGGTGCAGATGTGTGTGTATTTCGCACCCACCTGATACACTTCAATCACGTCAGCTGTGAAGAAGCCGCTGCCTGCCAGAGTGTATTCACCCCTTAACTGCTTGGCTGTCTGGGAGGTGAGCGCATTCACCTCCCTGCCGGTGAATCCTGGTGGTGTGATGTTTTTGGGGATCCCGTGACAACAGCTGAGGATGGAGGGGGACGGGGTGGACGACCACGAGAACCCCAGCCAGAGGTAGTCGCCTGCCATCACGATCTTGCCGGACCACATGCCGCTGCCCTGCACAGCCCCGTCCTTCCCGGCCACGTCCACCCGCTGTCTGTCTTGCGGTGGATGGATCTGTGTGGGCCGAGAAAAGCTGCCTCTGAGCGAAAATAGGAAGAGGTCGCCTCTGGTCGTCATAGTGGATGTCGGATTGCTGGGTTGGTTGAGGGGCCCGTCGAAGAAGACGCCAAACTTCTTGTTGTTGTGCTTGATGGCGAAGAGTAGGCCACGAGTCGATCCCACCTTGCTGATGAGGCTGTTGAAGCTGTCCACGTCACGTGTCGAGCTGGCCAAGAGACAAGATATACACTTCTTTCGTGTACGACCCTTGATACGCACACGTTCATCTCACCTATAGAGCAGCCAGAGTCGTACGTCTTCGGACGGCCGTCTCAGCCAATCCCGCAGGTAAGGCATGTGAGACTGCTCTATGATCGAGCCCTCATCATTGATGAGCAGATTCCTCTCAGGAAGTCCCCTGTAGACCTTATGAACCTGGAAAAAGCGAAGGCTCGCTTGTGCTTTTCTGCGTTCTTTCTCCCTTTGCGGTTCTTCTCACGTGTTGGTAGATGTATCTAATGTTGTCCGGATCGTTGAAGTTGCACCGGTAGCCCTCACGCAGGAGCAGCTGAATCGTTAACGAGACGACCTGGGCGTAGCCTTCCTTCTTGTATGCCGGCATCGATGAAAATTCGTTGCCGATGAGGCCATCCAGTCGCTCGATGAGCATGTCCACATCGGTCGTCATCGGAGCGAGCCGCGCGCTCTCTGTCGCACCAACCTGTACGCATCCAAACAAGTAATCTTGATGGCCCGCTTCCATGTCGACATACCACTCGTGCAGGCAGCCCCTGCGGTGTCTGTTGGTCGTGTCTGAAGACGGTGTGGACCCACGAGTAGGAGTTGCTGCCAAACATGGGGCAGTCAGGCGGGATGGGTTCGTCGGGGAAGCTCAATTCGTGCAGCGAACGAGCCGTCTCAGCGGCCTGCAGCAAGACAAACCACCTCAGGCGAAGACAGACAGCGACCTGATTGAGGCCTTCGTGACGAGCCGAGTTGATTACTTACCGTGTTGAGTTTGTAGAACTCTTGGACCTGTTTGTTGCCGCAGCTGTGCAGGTACCCCAGGTACTGCAAGGAGCAGTTGTGGCCTGTCTGGGCGGCCTGAGGGATAAACCCCGCCCAGATGCCGTCCGCCCCTCGACGCACACACTCCAATGCCACCGCCTGTGAGCTGTCGCCATGCGGCCCGGCGTGTGAGTGCACCAGCAGCTTGAAACGACTCGCAGGAAACGACGACCTGAGAACAGCAGGAACAGATATGCAGCGGGTGCGCCTCTGCTTAGTCGTTTCAGGACTCACCGGAGACGTTCAGTCACTTTGCCGTATTCATCAGCGAAGGCGATGCCCCTGGCGCCCTCAAAACAGATGCCTTTCAGAATCGGAATGCTCTTGGACCTCAGGTAACCGATCACTTTCTGCGCACCAACACAACGAAGGCTGCAGAATCCACCGTATCTAGTTGCTCATGCGCTGTCTCACCTGTACTTTCGGCGCATCCATGCTGACATTGAAGTCCAGCAGATCCACGAAGTTGATGTACAGGTGATTGCGCTTCAGATGCTGGTAGCCCGACCGGCTGACCATACGGTCGAGGTGAGGCAGACCGTCAGCATTGGCGGACATGATCACTTCCCTGTCGAGCTTCTTGAAGTACTCCTGAATGCGGGCGATGGTGGCCTTGAGGCTGTCGAGTGAGCTGGTGCCTGTGCGGGGGTTGCTGAATGTGTAGTCCAGCATCACATTGGGGACGCCAGATGCATCCAGCCTCGCCAACGCGTCTTCATCGCCTGACACAAATCGAACACAAGCGGGCCAATGTTACGCTGCACTGTCTGCAGTGCCGCCCTGCTCACCAGCTGACAGCATGAACCAGCAGCCGCTCATCCGAGGCTCCTCTGCCCGCAGCAGCTGGCTGAATTGATCTTCCACGCGCGGCATAGATCCGTAGTAGTGGCCGACGACAGCCACGTCGCGGAAACCGAATGCACGCACCTTACGGAATATCTCCATCTTGACATCGGGCGTGTGTCCGTAAGGCGTCGTGGTGGCCGACTCGGGAATGGAATGGTCCATGACATCGAGGGGATCCGCCTTTTTCAGACGCTCTCTCGTTTCCCTACGCGGCTGCCGCGAGGCTTTCGAACGGAAGGGCAGCCAGAAAAGGGCCAGAGCAAGTACAGCTAAGAAGAAAAGAGCCACTTCGTCCGCCGATATCGTGGAAGGCATCTTCCCTTTAGATCTGCAAGGGAGAGTCCCCGCTCCCCTCTGCACCGACTGAAGCGTATCAAGTACCCCGGACGCGTCGCGGAAGCCGAATGCGCGCACTTTGCGGAAGATCTCCATCTTGATGTCGGGCGTGTGTCCGCATGGGGTCGTGGTAGTGGCCGACTCCGGGATGCTGTGGTCCATGATATTGAGGGGATGTTTCTCCCTCAGGAGTTCTCGCGTGAGCCGGGGCAACTGAACAAACGGCCGTTTTTTCCCACCTGCGAGCTCATTTGTTTCGCCTAGGGGGCTGCCTGAAACCGCTGCTGCTCTCTTTGAGGTCGCAAGATTTTGTGGTTGGGCGTTTTGTGGATCCTTCGCGCTCCTCGCGTGTCGTGCCATCCTCGCACAGGGCTGAGGATCAACTTGTAGTCTTGTCGATGGCCGAATCGGCCTTGGAGAGGTTCAGAGGAGCATTTGACGACTTGCAGGAATACCTGGAGCCCTTGCTGAAGCGGGACCTGACCGAACTGCAGAACCAGCTCACATGTAGGGAACAAACATGGGAGCAAAGGAGTGCAGGCACATGTGCTCGTGTGTTGCGGTGTGTTCTCGGGTGTGTTCAGCTGCTGAGTGTGTCCAGTTGGATGCGCTGCTAGCGTACACCATCACATCTGTGCAATTCAGTAAGGCGGCGATGCTCACACTGGATGGATGGATCACGGACGCCTCCATCCGTGTGTGTGTTCAGTGTTGCTTCGCGTGAAGGGCATTGATCCGAAGGCACATCCGCTCCAGCAGGAGCTGGTAAGAGAGCTACAGAACAGCCTCGTATCTACATCCCCACGCTCATCGGATCCCTCGTTCGTTGTCATCTCGTCAGGATCGTGTCAAGTTGTATATGAAGAAGGTCTCGTCCAAACCCGCACTGCCACAGAGTAAGCACCACCACCACCAGCCACCGACAGATACACGTCCCTCTCTGCCTCTCCGTCGTGTGTCTTCAGAGCGGTCCATGCAGGTGGATTCCACCGCGGCCAAGCGCATCGTCTCCCACTACACCGCTCAGCCCCCCCTCACACTAGCTCAGGAGAAGAGACGCGACAGAGAGGCGGCCGCCAGCAGTGAGCCAAAGGGGCGGTCGAGGCACGGACGGGCATACGAGGCCGAGCTAGATGAGGAGGAAGAAATGGACCGCCTTGAGGCCAAGCGGCGACGCAGCCGGCGCAGCAACGACGCTGCAGTGGGCGGCAAGGAGAAGAGGAAATCCAAGAAAGAGAGGCGGCGGAGTGAGGAGGAGGTCGACAGCTCGGATGACGGTGAGGAGAGGAGGCGCGATCGCGAGAGCAAGAAGCGGAGGAAGGACAGGCGGAAGAGCGAGAAGGGTGAGGGGTCGGGTTCGGCTAAGAAGGCCATCAAGAAGGAGAAGAAGCGGCTGGAGAAGATGCGGGCGATGGTGGCGAGGCGGTCGTCAGAGGGAGGGGGCGGCGGGAGGGCGTCTGCATCGGCTGCGAGGGCGGATGCTGATGACCCCATTGTGATTGATGACTAGACCATATGCATACGTGCTGTATCGTGGGGGCATTCATCCATGGCTTGTGGGTGGATGGATGGGTGGTGGATGGGACTATGAGGCGACTCGATTCCCGATACGTGTGTGTTGCTCTGAATGGACGTATCTACAGCATTCAATCTGATGTCACACACTGACAATGCACGCGCACACCTCCGTTCCACAGGCAGACACAACTAACCGTCTGTCACACCATCCCCACCCCCGCCCCCTCCACTCCCATCTCTCGCTTCTGCCGTGTCGCCCTTTTTCTTGGTGATCATGCTGGGCTGTGGGGGCAGTCGCTGCTGAATGGGCGGCACAACGGGGTGAGGTGCCGGTTCGAGAGCTGGTGTGGGAGGGGGGCGTGGTGGTGGTGGTGGTGAGGGTTGATGGGCAGGCGGGAGGGCGCGTCTGATCCAGGGGTGGTCCAGCACCTGGTCGATGCTAATGCGATTCACCGGCTGAGTCAACACCTGACACACAGCCGCCAACCATACAACACACACACATGGTGCACACACACATGTCAGCGCTTTGTGCTCTGCATGTGTGTGTTTGTGTTGCCTTGCTGAGCAGGTCCTTGACATCGTCTGACAGGTCGCTCGGCAGCCGGAGGGAACACTGACGGATCAACGCATACATCGACTCCTGCATGACACACACACACAGACACACACATGAGATAAAGCTGAGGAATGAATGGAATGAGACACATTCCATTTAGTACCTGTGAGTGGCTCTTGAAGGGTGGCTCGCCCGTCAGCAGCTCATACACTGTCACGCCGAAACACCACACGTCAACCCTGTGTGCGCGCATCCAGATCATCATGGTATTCCACGCCTCAATGTAGGCCAGATCGTTGTGGTGTCATGTGTGTCTCGGCTGGCTACTCTACTTGGTATCATAGGCCCGCCGCTCCACCACCTCAGGAGCTAAATCTACGTATGCATATCACACACGCATTCATTGTCTGTCTGTGTCAGAAGTCAGTCCACTTACAGTCAGCCGTGCCGCAGAGAGTGCGCCGCTTCTCGCGAGGCGCCAGCACGGCCCAACCTGATAGACACCACATACACGCCGGCCGGCTGTTAGGCGTCCGTCTCCGTGTGTGTGTGTGTGTGTGTGTGGCACGGAGCACGGACCGAAGTCAGCTATCTTGAGAGTGTCATCTTCTGTGATGAGCAGGTTCTCGGGCTTCAAATCTGACGATACAACGGACAGATTTCCACGCGGTTTTCCCCCCTCGTGTGTCATGTGCGGGTGTGTACCTCTGTGCAGGATGCCTCGCGAGTGGAGGAACTGCAGGCCGAGCGCCAGCTGGGCCGCATACTGCGCACACCAGACCACACAATACACCGCCATGAAAGTGTTGGGGATCAGTTCGGTGCGGCTCGCTTGCCTTGGCCGTCTCCGCCTCACTCAGCCTGCCCTGCTGTCTGCAATCCATCCATCCATCCCATGGGGTGGACGAATGCGCTGGGAGTGTCTGTCTTTGTCTGTGTGTACTTGAGTTTGTTGAAGAGCGGTCCCTTGGCGGCGTATTCCAGCACTAGGTACAGCCTCTGCTGGTCACGGAAGAAACCGTGCAGACGCAACACGTGAGGATGTCTGCACACTAAACAGAAAAATGCGGAGAATGTGGTCATGTGTGTAGGTGTAGATGTACCTGAGGCGTGCCTGTATCTCCACCTCTCGTCGGATCTGATGCACAAACGACTCGCCCAACACCATGCTGCGATGCATCACCTACACCACATCCATCCATCCACACTCATGGACAGACACACACGCGGTACACCCACCCTTTCTCTTTCTCTTCCTGCCCGCTCACCTTCAGTGCGACCATCTGGCCCGTCGGGCGATGCCTGGCCAGATAGACACACCCAAATCTCCCTTTGCCCAGCGGCCTACCCATCTCAAAAGCGCTCAAAGAGAACACACCACTATCGCCGCCCTTTTCGCCCGCACCCCCATCCCCAGCCTCCCTCCCTCTCCTTTTCGGCCCCTCCTCCACTCTCTCCGGCGGCACGGAGGGCGAACGCACCGCAGATGGACGCACCTTTGGCCCCACGCTCGCATCCCGTTTCTTCCTCACGACTTGGTTCTGCCTTGGCTCCTTCACCGCCACGGTCCGCTGGGAGAATGGGCCCGGCGTGGCACTCCTCGGGGCGAGTGTTGGCCGGCGCGTTGGACGAGGGATGACATCCTTCCGCCGCACATCGGCTGCTCTCACATCACCACCAGCGGGCTGAGATGTGCTGATGGATGGCTCAGCGGGCGGCTGGCTTGCCGATCGACGGGGCTTCCTCTGCGGTGGGGCATTGGACAGCCTCGCACCACCCAATGCCTTGCACAGAGGTACACGCGTCGGAAGCGCAGAGATACGGGGCTGCCGAGGGACAACCGCGGCTTCTGCTGCTGCTGCGCTTGGCGCACTGGTCGACGGAGAAGCGCTCTCTCCCTGTTTCGCAGTTGCTGGCAGGGGTGGCCGGGACGCGCTGGGTGGCTTCTTCTGTTGCTGGCGAGTGGGAAGTGGCGGCTTGGACGATGCGGGCGATGCAGCGTCGACGACGTCAGTTGTGTTCGATTCCTGCGTGCCGACAGAGGAGGGTGAGAGGGACGCTTTCTGTCTAGGAGCGAGGGGAGGAAGCATCCACAGAAAGAGGCAGGTTTATGGTGGAGGGGGGAGGAACCCAAGCGGAGGTGTCTGTAAATCTTGTAAATTTCGACAAAAGGATGGACGAAGGAGGAGATGGGGCGCACATCGACTTCTTCGCATTGCCAAGTGATGATGGAATAGCCGCATGGCAAGAGATCTGCCAAGGTGAGGCGTACACCACCACAAAACAGCGCCAACGGCAAGGTCACCTGAATGTCCACGCCTTCTGTTCTCTTGCAGACCCTCAGCTCCAGGCATATATTCAAGACTCCTTCCTGAGCCCTCCCGCTCCACCTGCCGAGAGCCGTGAAGAGCCTGCACCTTCCCGCTCACCCGTGGTCCGCACATCGCCCGCATCTGCTGCTCTCCCTCGGCCAGGCTCCTCTCCCTCACCGCCACACGCAAGCCCCGCGCCGCCCTCACAACCGTCATCCCGTCAGATACGCAAACGCAAGAGCGCGGTAGCAAATCGCTCGCCATCCGTCCCCTCTCGCCGCAGTGGTGGTCGGCCCTTGAAGTTATCGCCTCGCAAGGAGCAGCCTCTGGGCAGCAATCAGCAGGACGAGCAGACACGGAGCGACCGCGTCAAGAGCACCGTTGCCGGGCTCTATCAGAGGGGCCTCAGAGGTGGCCGCCCGAATATCGTCGGGAAGCGGCCGAGGGGCGCGAGGTCGTCATTCTACAACATGAAGAAAGCGAAGCGGAAGCAGCATGATGACGCAGTGGGAGAGGGAGAAGGGGATGGGGCGGACGGGGGCGACCAAGGGGGGCCGTCGAAAGCGGCCAAGAAACGGCGATCGAAGGAGGGGGATGATGGGGCCGAGGGTGGTGGTGTCAGCCGTGATGTGTCAGTGAAGGGTTTCTATGTGGGCGGTGTGGGTGTGGGTGAGAGGATGGACGACGGGGCGGCTCAAGAGGAGGTCGAGGCGTTTCTGGTGGGTGAGGACAGCCGGAGGCAGGGCGAGGAGCGGCCTGGTGAGGGAGCGGCTCGCAAGCTGCCCAAGAGCTTCTCTTTCCTCACCGCGTCGGGCAAATGCATACCGGTCCACCAACACAGCTTTCATATCAATGTTCTGTTCCCTTCTGCTCTTCTCTCTCTTTCTTTCAGTGTGTGGACAACCCTGCCCTTCAGAAGATTCGTGCTGCCGTGGGTGCGCCGTCGACCCGCCTGCTGGCCCCTGACGAGGTCATCGAGGGGGCCGCCAAGGCAGGTCTGCTCCAGAACGTCACCTCGACCCGCCACTCTCGGCCACTCAAACAAGACGACCCCGAGCCGCCTGCCGACCAGATGGATGGGCAAGATGATGACAACATGGACGACATGCCGCCCCCACCTCCACCCGCATTCGTCGCTGCTCCGTTCCCGCGTCCGATGGGCTTCACCACCGGCAAGGGAAATCAACTCAACATCCAGATGTCGGCCAAGAACCGCGACCGTTTGGCGCATCTGTTCGACAACATCGACAATCCTGCTGCCGCTGCCGGCCCTGCGGCACCCCGTCCTCCCAATGCGGGTGGCGCGTCGATGGGTGGGTTCAGGAGCGGCATGGACAAGCCACCGGCCATCAATGCGCTTGAGGACCACGACCGCAGCAACGGGCGGATGGGGATGGGCAGCGACAGCCGGCCATCCAAACAAGACAACCAAAGACAGATGGATGAGCACGATGACGACATGGATGCTGTGGCTCCCCCGCCCCCACCCCCGCCCGCATTCGTCGCTCCCTCCTTCCCCCGTCCGATGGGCTTCACCACCGGCAAGGGCAATCAACTCAACATCCAGATGTCGGCCAAGAACCGCGACCGTTTGGCGCACTTGTTCGATGGCATTGACGACCCTGCTGCCGCCACTTCTGCCGCATCTGCTGCTGCCGGCCCTCCGCCCCCCCCTCTCCCCAGTGGGGCTGCAGCGTCGATGGGAGAATTCAGCACCGGTATGGGCAAGCGGCGCGCGGCCATGCTCGAGGACGACGATTACAGCAACGGGCGGATGAGCATTGAGATGGGCAGTGACAGCCGACCGTCGAGACCTCCCCCGCTCCCTCCACCTCTCCCTGCCCCTCTCCCTTCGCCACCAGCAGTAGGCCGCCCAGCCGTCCTTGGCGGCTTCACAAAGGGAGGGGGCTTCAAGCCCGTCGCAGTCAGCGACGCCGCCATGGCCAAGGTCAAGGCCATCTTCGATGACGATGACGATGACGACAACAAGGGCAACGGCAGCTCACCTCTCCCCCTCCCCGCCCCCGCCCCCGCCCCCGCCCCCGCATTACCCAAGCAAGCACCACCCCAGCCCTTGTCGGCGCCACGCGCCTTTCGCCCACCGCAGATACGTCCATTGGGCGTCCGTCCGCTGCATCGTCCACCGATGATGAGAGGGAGAGGTGGACGCGGGACGAAGCCATTTCGTCCTCCATTCGCTCGTGGCGGGCTGCACAGCAGGGTGGCCACAGCGCCACCAGGGGCAGGGGCAGGGAGGGGGGTTGGGGTGAGCCGGCTGACCGACAAGACAGACAAGACGGAGGGAGAGGGAGAGGGAGACGGTAATGGGGATGTTGAGGGGGAAGGGGTAGAGGAGGACATGCAGATGGAGCCGGTGGCTGCTTTGAGTGAGGGTGAGGTGCGGAGTGCGCCCGGGGCGGAGTGTGTGCGGCTGACCACCGCCGAGACGTGTGTGGTCAAGGATGGGGAGGGCGGCGAGTGGATGGGGTGGAAACAGGTCTTCACATTGTTCAGGTGCGGACGGCAGCTCGGCACACGTGACTGTGTCATCGATCCATCGGATGTGTGTGTGATGGTGCGGTGTGGTGTGGTGTGCAGGAAGGGTCTGCGTGACGCGTTGGGTGTGGATGGACTTGACAGGAAGACGGCTGCCGAGGCCTGCGAGCCGTTTGACACCAAGTGGTTCCACAACCACTGGCGCCTGACCGTCTTCTACGCATGCAGACGTTGGCGGCAGAAGGTGAGAACCACGCCCACAAACCCTCCTTCAAGCACACCACACACATCTTCTGTGTTTTTGTTTTCCTTTCAGCTGCGTCGGCTGGTGACCGCCAATTCATCCGTCTCCCTCTCTTCGCTGCTCGAGCGCCACCCCCCGCCCACCCATCGGCTGAGGCGGCTGCTCGAGTGGCTGCATGCACGGGCCAAGAAGGAGCGGGAGGGCTATCGATCGCCCATCAAACAAATCGCAGAAGGCAAGACAGACGCGACAAGAGAGAGAGAGAGAGAGATGGAGGGAGACACACACGTATGGTATGTGGCTGTGTGTGGCGCTGATGTGTGTCCAGGTGACGAGCCAGCGGGCATTCCGTTGGTCTTGGACCTCCACCTGCATTACGGTGAGGGCCAGATGCTGCCGACAGTCTACGCCACCGACGGCTGGTACCTCCTGAAGGGCAGCCTGGCCGACCAGCACACCCAGGAAATCGTCAAGTCAATATACCATGTCAGTGAACACCACACCACACACCACGCCAGCTTGAATGCATCCATCTCCATCCACTTCATGTGTTGTGTAAGGTCTTCCGTGTGGCGGTGTCTGGTGCGTGCTTGGAGAACCGCGGCCCGCCGTGTCCCCCGCTGGACCTGCCGGCCGAGTGTGCGCTCAAGATCCACTACCACGCCATGCACCCGATCCCTCAGTCGACCCCACTCGGCAGACGGAAAGCCACCGGGCCCATGATACAGTCTGTCGAGGGTGAGAAATGGGTGTGTGTGATGTGGGGGGCGGAAAGCGGGACGGTTCTCATGACTCATGACATGTGTGTGTGTGTGTGTTGGGGTGGGGTGGGCGCAGAGATCATGGCTGGCGGTGGGAAGGTTGAGCTGGTCGACGTGGTGGTGCTTGCCGTCTTCCCACTCGCACACCGGTGAGAGAAACCCACGAGCACGGGCCCCACACATCCCACACACCACACACACGGAAGAATCGCTTCTCTCTCTCCTGCGTGTGTGTCTGTCTCTTGTGTCAGTGAGTACCTGCGAGGCCGTGCGAGCGAGGGCAACGCCGAGGTAGCCGCCAAGCCGGTCTTCATACTCAGAACAGACTCAGAACAAACCGAGAAAGAAAATGTGAGCGACGACCCACACACAACCACAACCAGCCCTCCCTGCACACACGCACCAGTGTCCCATGTCTGCCCATGTATGTCAGCAATGGGAGAAGGAGTGCGAGCGTGTGCGTGAGGAGGTGGGTGACGAGTGCTTGGAGGAGATGGAGGCCGCCGTACAGGAGGAAGACAGGCGCGAGCAGAACGGCAGCGACAGCGACGAGGAAGGCAATGAGGACAGTGGTGGTGGTGATGATGAGGAGGAGGAGGAGGAGATGGACGAGCAAGCAAAGAAGGAGGCCAAAGAGAAGGCCAAGGAGGAGGCCAAAGAAGAGGCGCGCATCAGGCGGCTGGAGAAGAAGAGCCACGACCTCCAGGAGAAGATGCGAAGTGAGCCAGCCAACCCGCCCTACACCCCCACATCCCCACCCACCCCTCCCTGTCTGTCTGTCTGTCTCTGTTTGGGCGCGCAGAGCGTATCGAGTCGATGACGCATCAGCATGCGAACGAGGTGGCCTCGCAGGTGTCCTTCATCGCCATCGACACACGCATAGCCCTCCAGTGGACTGCTGCTGGTGGCGGTGGTCTCCGCGACAAGTGCATCGACAGGCAGGACGAGCTCGCCAAGCTGTGCGACAACATGACCCTCATCACAATCTCAAACGTAAGGCCCCATCCATCCATTCTGATAAGCACCATCACCGCTGTGTGTTGATCCATCAGCTGGATGGCGAGGAGCCCCATCAGGGCATCAAGACTGGGCACCGCCTGCGCCTGTCGTGTCTGAGGCCAATACAGCACTACTTCGCCCCGCCGTCGGCCGCGAGTGCCGGTGGGTCACGGCTCAAGACTCGCCCACCCATCAGACTCTACGGCAAGATGCACGGCAAAAACAGGTGGCACAGAGAAGGGACACACACCCACACACTGGGGGGACGGACGATGGATGGACTTTTCTGTGCTGTGTGGGGGTGGGTGTCAGAACGCGGTTTAACGTCGCTGGCGAGCATCGTCCCGGCAAGGGCAGCCTCCTCGACCCCTTCGTGGCGCCCCAGCTGTCCGTCAACCCCTCCTCCCTCCCCGCCCTCCGCTTCGCCCCACTCCTGTCGCTCACACACATACTGACCGTCACGGGCCGGGGCAGCGGAGGGGATGACACCGACAACAGTGACGACACATCATCTGTGGTGGATCTGGAGCACTGGGGCCGGCACTGGGAGGGGGAGCTGCGCGCCCCTGCCGCACCGGACGAGTTGGGCTTGGTCAAGGGCCATTGGTATGACCTCATCGGCATACCCGTGTGCGTATCGCAGGTGCAGAAACAGGTAAGGTACGCAGAGAGAGGAGCGGTCTTGATGTCTGACTTACTGTGTATCTCTCTGTCTGTGTGTGCAGGAGAGCCGGTTTGGGCGGCAGGAGGGTGACGGCTCATCTGCCTTTGAGTGGACAGTCAAGGTTGGCCATGTGATGTGTGCATCTGTGTGACCACCCATCCCATCCACACTTGTGACGTCCGCGTGTGTCTCCTGCCTGCCTGTCTGCCTGTCTGTCTGTCTGCAGATAGGTTTGTTGTGCAGCAGCGGCGCTTTGTGTGAGCTCACCGTCAAGGCCACAGAAGAACCCACAAGAGCAAAGGAGTACGTTGCCGTCGACCAACGGACAGGACACCTTCTGTCTCTGCTGTCAGGCAACTGGAGCGCCTCGTGAGGCCCATCGTCACTCACGCCCCCACCATCCCCACCAGCCCCAGCCCACAGCACACCCAAAGCCCCCCACACACATCCGTCCTCTCACACCGACCGGCGGCTGCATCTGCATCAGACGAGGCATCGTCGTCGCAGCTGCCATGGGACGTCACGCGGCATCTGCCGGTTTGCAGCGATGAGGATGGTGGGTGGGACTGGTGGCTGATGGCGCGAAATGTCGAGTGGCAGTGGCATGAGAGGAGCCAACACATATGGCACTTCAGATCGGACGCGACAAAGGTACACACACACTTTTGCTGCGCATGGGGATGTCTCTCGCTCACTGACGCGTTCTTCCTCCCTCCTCAGCTGGTGCTGTCGTCCACACCGTCGTCATGCTCGCACCCCCTCCTCTCTCCCCCACTCCCAGCATTCCCACCCCCGGACACACGCATTCCCCTCACCGACGTGCAGCCGGCCATCGAGAGAGCGGCCCACAAAATGGGCGAGCGGCTCGGCGCATTGAGCAACCCATCTTCGCCCCCCTTTGTGCGCTCTGACCCACCGCTCTTCAGAAGGAGAGCGGGCGGGCTGGCGCGGGAGGGCAACAACCACAACACGGCGATCCCCCAGGCGGCGTTTCAACAGATGGGCCAGAGGAATGTGGAGGGCGAAGGGGGACGGGATGACCGTGGGGATGATGGCGGGGTGGCGCCCATGGATACATCTGAGTGAGGGAGGGAGACTGTAGTTGGCTGAGTAAGACACTCGTATTTATTTGCCTGAGCATCGAATGGGTTTGACCTGTCTGATGACTGCGTTGACTACATGCGTGAATGAATACGATCGTCCACATCTCTCCCTCCCTCCACGTGTGTGTGTCCGTACCCTTTCACATACAATGAACACACACCACATCACATCAATGCCATCTCTCTCTCTCTCTCGCCCTCTCTACCTGTACACTCTCTCTCACGCACCCTCACAACCCACCCACCTTCCTTGCATTGCTGCCATACTACTACTACCATTATTGGCATGCATGGGGTCTCTTTGGAGCACCTCATGTGCTGACAAAACCAAAACGCCCGGCCGTCACGTCACACTCACTCACACAAACCATCAAACCACAGGCACGCACCAGCATGGGTCAATGGATGGATATGGGATATGCACAGGTCGGGGGGGCGGGGAGGGAGGGAGGGAGGGGCACGCTGACAAAGACAAGAAGACGAGAAGAGGCAAGTGAATGGTTTGACGGCCGTCCCTCCGGTGCTGTCAGTAGACAGCCGGTGGCCGGGCGGGCAGACAGGCAGACAAAGACGCCGTAACCGGGCTACATCCATCCATCCATCCCTCCATCCATAGTGTGATCATGTGATGGTGTGTATGGGTGTTGCTGTGTACGTCAGTGTCTGTCAAACAAACATCCCATATGCGTGCATCACCGACATGAAGACATCAGAGCTCACCAGTGCGATTGCACTCACAACTAGCTTTGTCAACACATACACATACACAGTCACACGGGCAGAGGTTGTCTCATCCATCGGACAGCTGCAGTCAGTCAGTCAGTCCGTGCGAAAAAAGGAGTGACTGCACACACGCATCGCATGCATGAGCTAAGGCCACACAGAACAGCACAGCTACGCACAAAGAATGGATACCGAAAAACGCCACGCCCTCAGCCAGCGATCAATAATCATCTCACAATCAACCACACACTCACAGACGTACAGGCACCAAAGACAGTAAGGAAAAACAAAAGCCGACACGCACATCTGAGCTAGGGGAGGAAAAATGCAATAAATAGATCATCAACACACGAGCAGGCCACAGGAACAGATCTACTCCATTCAGTCACGACACGTCGTCCTCATCGACGTCACTGTCCTCAACAGACTCAATGTCGATGCACTCGTTCTCCATCTCAGAAGGGCTCCCATCACTCGACGCGGCAGCAGCAGCAGCAGCAGCAGGAATGGCCGAGCCGGCACCGGCCGTCACCGCCCGTGCGTGGGGCCGCAGGATGCTCTGCAGCAAAGGGGGCGTCATGGCCGTCGATCGTGAGGATGGGCCGACGGCCATTTGTAATGGGCCGACGGGTGGCGATTCGTGCCGGGGCGAGCAGTGGGGCGGGGAGTGGGAGGAAGAGGACAGCAGCGACGCGCGGCAGATGGGGCACGACCAGTGCCCTTCCTTTATCCAGTTCTCTATACAACTCTTGTGCCTGCATCCACACACACACACACACACACACACAGATGGATGACGGGTGAAGACTGACTGCATGGTCAGTCAGCTGACTGCTTACCACACGTGTCTGCAGCCGGTGTCGCGGTTGGACGTCCGCGCACAGATCTCCCCCTCCTCATATTCGCAAAGGCACACGCAGCAGACCTCATTGCCAGTCAGGGAAAAGGACGACGTGACGGAACCACCAGATGAAGGCTTGCATGGCGGTAATGGGGGAGGCGCTCGGGGGGGTAATGGTTCTTGCCTCGCGTCTGTGTTGGAGCGGTTGCTCTTGGCGTCAGTGCTGTAGGGGTGGGGGGAGGTGGGGGGCGTGATGGACGACGGGTCGGTTGCGCATGAAGATGTTGCCGAGTCCCTGTTGCTCCCGCACGTGCTGCACGTGTCGGCGCTGCTGTTGTCGGTGCTGCTCGTGGGGCCCGACTGAGTGTCCGCCGTCATCATCGCGGCCCTTTTGCTCTCGGAGTACTCGAAGACAGTGAGGTCGATGCACTTGACCACGCTGCTGTTGGTGTCGTCGTCTTCGCAGTCATAGGCATGGTCCTCGTATGAGCTGTCATCGGGAGAGCGCACGAAGCAGCACCAAACGGATTCGCAAATGGTCAGGAGCATGTTCCTGCCGCGGTACAGCAGCCAGGGGAAGAGCCGGATTATCAGGCACAGCGCCACCACCACCGACACGAGAAATATCATCTCGCCAGGTCAGTCAAAGCCTCCTGTGCGAAGGCAGCCAGGCGCCGCACTGTAGACCCGTACAGCGATGTCGATCCGAAGTGCCGCCTTTTGTCCGCCTTTTTCCTTGACGTGTCGCGCCCCTGACGAGTTCGTGGTGCTGTAGCTGTGGGAAACGGAGTGCGAAGGCGTGGGAAGAACAGGCGAGATTTTGAGACGCCCCATCAAGAGTTTACATTTGGCGAGGATTTTGAGAAGTTGAGGTCTATCCGAGGCCTGCCCATTTGCGGCGGAGGATTTGTTCGGATACGAGGACGAACCTAGCCGATGCGAGGTAAAAGATACACACACATAGACACGGTCTGCACACGTGTGGGTGATCGTGTGCAGGAGGTTTGGGCTGTCTATGGAGTACGTGCGCAGACCGTGTCTATGTGCGTGGGGACCCAAGTGGGCGAGCGCGTGTGTGTCGTCGGTGCGGACTCGACTTTTGGCGGCTGGAACCCGACCAAGGCCATCCCGTTGGCCACGTGTGCCGAGACCTTCCCAGAGTGGACGTCGCCCACCATTCAACTCCCGCCGGACGGCAGAGGGCTTGTCGAGTACAAATTCGTCGTCAAGGACGGCAGCGGTGGTTTGCGACAGTGGGAGCAGCCCATCTGGCAGTCCATCTGGCGGCCTCAATTATCAGAAACTCAAGTTGAAGGTATGCATGTATGGGTGCAATGGGCGGACCGACTGTTTGTTGCCATGTGTGCACCTCGACAGGCAATCGTTGCCTACATTTTATATCTCTCACGAGTGAAGAACGGAGACCGCCGGTACAATCAAGACCAAGATGTGTGAGTACTTGCAGCGGGGCAAAAGCACACAGGGAGCCAAGATGAAAACAGCCTGCGGGTGTAGAAAAACATCATCGCTGGCTGCATTTTATATCGTTGGTCTGTTTGTCAATGCGTGGTGTGTGCGACGAGTCAACAAAAACCTTCTCTGAATGAATTCAATCGTCATATGATCCGGAAATCGCACATTATCTAAGCTCGCACGAGGAACCGAAGGCAGAAAGCAACCAATCAATCCATCGTCGCCGCCATGCCCTGAGATGGGGTTTCGCCCGGGCTGAAACCGCCCGATCTCAAGATGGCATCCAAGCGGGCGCTTTCGGAGCCATCTGGATCAGCGTCATCATCTCACAAGTCCCCTCGCGTAGATGCCTCATCATCGAGAGGCACGCATTTCGGGTCGCCGCAGATCCGCATAGGCACGAGCGGGTACTACTATAACTACTGGTGCGGCCCGTACTATCCCACGGACCTCAAAGCAAAGTCCAAGAAACAGTTCGAATGGTACGCATCCATGTGAAGCCACTGGATGTGAAGCGCAGACGACGAAGCGCTGTGTGTGGCGTGATTTCTGTCTGTGCGTGTTTGTGGCTTTGTGTGGCCTGTAGGTTTTCTAGCGAGTTTGACTGTGTGGAGATCAACGCCACTTACTACGTGATTGCGCCCGAGCAGACGTGGCGCGGCTGGAAGGTCGGTGACCCGGCAGTCAGTGCCCTTCATGCCATCCGCTCATTCATTCGCGGCCACCTCAGGCACAAGCTCCTCGGCCGTCCTTCACGTACGCCATCAAGGCCAACAAGTACTTCACCGACGAGAAGCAGCTGCTGGTGGATGACGGCTTCAAGGAGCAGTGGAAGACATTCTGGGGCGGCTGCTTGCTCCTCGATGACCATCTCGGCCCTGTTCTCTTCGTGTGCCCGCCCTCATTCCGGCGCAACATCCAGCGCCTCAAGGATCTGTCGACCGTTCTGCCCTCTAACGGTCAGTGAGTGACTGAGTGCCTTAGTGAACAACACCATTCACTATGCTCTGTGTGTTTCTGGCAGTCAAGGTCGTTTTGCCTTCGAGTTCCGGCATCCGTCGTGGTACACCAAGGAGGTGTATGATGTGCTGAGGGCCAACGACTGGTGCCTCGCGCGCACCCACCTCATCAACGAAATGAAAAGCAATGGAAAGATGTGGGCCGCCCAGATGGACAGCGGTGAGGCGGGATTGGTCATCCATCAGCCAGCCACGCATGGCATGCAGCCATGCAGGAGGATCCTTGTCTGTCTGTCGGTCATGGTCTTGTGCGTCAGGTTGGCACCCGCCAGCGAGCGTTGACTCGTGCTGCTCGTGGGGGCTGTATTTCCGGCTGCATGGTGCCCGGGGTCGGTGTTTCGGCAGCTACGATTCGAGCCAGCTGCAGGAGGTGGCGCGTCGCATGCAGGAGTTCACGGAAGGCAGCACGAGTCGCAAGGCCTACTGCCTGTTCAACAACGACAGCGTTGAACCACACTCTAGCTGTCCGCCCCCCGCCGTTGCCGACGCGCGAAACCTTGACGACCTGTGCAAGCGGTCTGTGTGCGTGGATCCTGAGCTGGCTGAGGCGCTGCGACTGTCGCTGGAGACCCACCAGCAGGTAATGTTTGTGTTTGTGTGGGTCCATCCATAATGGGTGTGTCGTACCTGCACAGCACAGGTACTCGGTGAGTGCGTCTGTGTCTGTCTGTGTTTCTGTGTGTGTGTGCAGGCGCTCCTCCCGCCTCCTGAGGAGCCCACGTCTGGCCCCACGTGTGCTGTACAGGTGATGGGAGGAGAGTGGGTGGGGTCGGTGGGCAGGAGAGAGAGAAACTCCCTCCCAACTGACCTCAATATATGTAATGGCAGATTCGTCTCCCTTCGGGCGCCCGCATCACTCGCAAGTTCGCGCCCTCACACACCATCAAAGTACGAATGCACTCATGCACATCTGGATGGATGGATGGAGTGATTCCTTTGCTGCGTGTGTGTTTGTCCCATGTGTGGTGGCTGACCGACAGGGTGTGTTTCACTGGCTAGAGAGGGAGGACCTGAGCGGCATCGTACCCAGGCTCAGCATGAGGGGCACCTGGTCGCTCGTTGTCTCATTTGCGGGGTGGGCGACCTGATGAGAGAACGAACGGTTGCAGACACATACAGTACTCTGTGTGATGCATGTGCCAGTCACATACCTGACTCTCCTTCTGTCTGTCTGTCAGTTTGTCTATGCCGAAGCGCTACACGCGCGAGGCGGGAGGCCGCATCGTCGCATACCCACGCACACATGTGAGCGAGTGCTGCGGTGGGCAAGGGGGTAACAGATCCCACCTGTGTGTGTATGTGTGTGTGCGGGTGTGTGGATGTGCAGGGTGTTGGGGATGTGTCGGAGGCCACGTTGCAGTCGCTGGGTTTTCATTGTCAGGAGACCTTTAACCTGCAGCTATGATTAAGTCCATCCATCCATCATGGCGCGCGTGTGCAGATGTATTCTATGTCCACCTTCTGTCTGCAGCTATCTGTCTGTCTGTCTGTCTGTCCGTCGCGCTCCGTGTTCTAATCACTCCCATGTGTCGGCTGTGTAGATGCCCTCGCTGTTTTCAGTATGCGGGACGTCCTAAGGTGTGTGGTAGTCTGGTGACACGAGTGTGGTAGTTCGGTGGTTTGATTCAGCGCCGATCAAATATGTAACACCAGAGACCGTCGTTCACGCAATCATGTGCAAAGATCCGTCCGTTGCACATCTCACTTCACCAATGACACCAATGAACCTGTCTGCCCCAATCGGGCCCACCGCACCTCTACAGCTACCGAACACGTCAAGGCACCCATCCCACACCGCAGCAGCTCATCCGTCTCCCACACTGCTTTGCCACTGCGCCATGCCTCCTCCATCAGACGCCTGTGGCGGCATCGCCGGCCGCTGACCAGCACCCTGGGGCGGCCCGGCCCCTGGTGGGGGCGGCATCGGCAGGAATGGCGGCCGCGCAGGGCCAGGCCAGTACGGCCATGGCACCGGCACAGGCGAGGGCATCGGGCCCTCGGCCCCCGCCCCAATCTCGCCCTGCTGCTGGGGCCTCACTTGTGGCCGTATCGCACCCGGGAAGGGCATTGGGTACATCGGGGGGTGCGGCCACGGCCACACGAGGTTGCCGGCGGCATCGTATGAAGGGACGGGTGGGAAGGGGTATGGCGGAGGCAAGGGGCCGGGTCGGAACTGCATGATTGGCGGGGCCTGGTGTGGGGGAGGGTGGAGCTGGGGATGGGTGGCGGGGGCGGCGTGGGGTGCGCCGTCTTGGGTGTAGAGTGCGGGGGGGCTGGCGGCGACGTCTCGGCCTGGCGGGACGAGCTGCAGCACGATGTCCATGTGGTTGAAGACGTACGTCTTGCACCTCAACGAATCCACACGCACACACACACACACGTGTATGCACGCAGTAATGTGTAAGTGGGTGAGTGGTTCCGCCCACCTACCTGATTTGGAGTTTGTCGAGGTGCCACTCTGATGCGATGCGGAAGAGCTCCAGCACGTTGTTGTCGTGTAGTGGCACACTCTGACCACACACACACACACACACACACACAAGATCTGCACATCGACCATTCCACCCTGCGTCTGTCTTTCCAACCAACCGTTTGGCACTGCGCTTCGAGGAGGGGTATGTCCAGGTGGTGTGCCGCATAGAGCAGGCTCTCCGACTCGGCTGGGCTCGGCACTCGCTCAAAGCCCTCATACATGTGTGTCAAAACCAGCCGAAACACGTCATACCTTGACACCAACAACACCATCATCATCCTCTGCAATGCGCTGCACCCATCGCCCCTTGATTTTGACGCACCTACCCGTTTTTCGGCGCGTCGGTGTCATCCTTGCCCCTGGCGGCCCGCAGAACCGGCGAGAGGTCAAGAGCAATGGGATCCCCATCAGCTGGGGAGGCGTCACATTTCTCTCCTAGCAGTGGCGAGAAACGCCGCTGCACACACAGAGCGAAGCACGAGCTCACCACGTGCAGTCGTCTGCTCGTGGTGGATCTCTCTGTGCCTGACCAGGATGGGTTTGTGCGCCTTGATGACCTTGCCCTCGACACGGAAGGCCACGTCGTGGGTCTCCTCGTCGTCGAGCAGATCGATGGCCCGCGCGCGGAGTCGCGGGCGCAGGCCGCTGACGAAATCCCTGCAGGCAGCGAGAGACACGCAGACATCCATCTATAGTATAAGATACCTGCTGCCGGACCGTTTTACCAGTTACCAGTCGAGAGGGAGGGCGTAGACGGAGGGGCGGGAGGCGACGTGGCCGTCGCGACGATCGCCATGCTCGTTGGGAACATTCTGTTTGTTCGTGTGTGCACCCACTGGCGTGTTAGCGGCGAGACGAGCTGCCTGTTTGTGTGTGTGTATGTGATACCTGGTATGACAGCAGTCGGCCCTCGAAGATGACGGCACATGGCGACTCATACAGGCCCTGCAGATGCGGCACATAGACAGACAGACGGCCAAACTCACAGAGAGGGGCGTGTTGTGGAGGGGTTCGGTCACCCTGCACCCACCCACATACCTTGACGACTGGGCAAGGGAAGAAACCGGGATGCAGCTGGTGCCAAATCTGACCCGAATGGCTATACCTACACACACGACAGACACAGAACACACAGAGAGCAGAGGTACCCACACACCCATCCATCCATTCATCCACCGACCCATCCACCCACCAGTAGATGGCTCTCGACACGTCGTTGGCCTCGTTGAATCCTCCATACACCAGCAGCCCTCCCCGTATCACCATGAGCGACGACCCATGCAGCGGTGTCGGCCCTACGCCCTCGCCCCTGCTGGCCGACCGCACGTGGCCCGCCGCCTCAGAAAGGCTGATGGGGGCGGGGCATTGGCTGTGCTCGTCCTGCTCGTGTGGGTGAGGGTGGGCGTGTGGCGAGCTCGGCGCACTGATGGGCTCCCATGTGAGCTGATGCGTAGAGAACCGATACAGATCCGCTGTCACTCTGACACACACACACAGACCAGCAGCATCCATCCATCCATCCATCCATTTGTCAGGCAATGCATGAGCCTTCTCGCACTGACTGACATGGGCACGTGTGGCGTGTGGTGGCTGGGGTCCATCGGGGTGGGGTACCGACCGTCGCCATGGCGATCACGCGACGCACCATCTCGCCATCGTTGGCCGCCCCCTGCTGCTGCTGCTGCTGTTGGTGGTGGTGTGTGTGCCGTGTTGCCGTATATGAGGCCCCCGAACATCCAGACAGCATCGGCTGAGCGGTCGTAGACACATGAGGCGCCCCACCGGCAGCTCAGGTAGGGCGTGAAGGGGGGGAAATTACTGCAGTGCACTCATGTGTGACCATGGAGAGAAGGAGCATGCCGATACGATGCCCATATGTGTGTGTGTACGTGGTGAATTGGGTGGTGTAGTCGAGTTGGATCCACACCCAGTTGCCCTCGCGCTCGCGGTCAGGACAAAACGCATAAGTCACCGAACCAGTGCTGTCACCTGCCCAAGCACAGCACACACACACGCATCAACCAACATAGGTGGACGTGGGTGTAATGCACTGCACGCACACACCGGCGCCCACCGCAGAAGACTTGATGCCCTCCGCAGAAGATCATCATGTCCCGGCAGCCCACAAAGCAAAACCCTTGCCGCTTCTTGGGCGGAATGCCTGCGCACAGACAGACAGACAAATAGACAAACAGACTCGCCTTCGCTTTGGCTCTCTTCCGTCCTGCCCGCTGGTCCCACCGGACGTGCAGGTCTTGAGGTTGTGAATCCTCGGGCTGCCTGCGACGTGTGAATGACACAGGAGCAGCCAGCCGCCCCTCCCCTCCATATGCCACGACGGAGTGTCGTGCTCACGCAGCTCACTCAGCTCACTCACTGGTGTTTTCGATGCCGCAGTCGAGCACCTCATAGCGCCAATCAGAGGGGCAGGTGGGCGTGTCGGGCGGGCAGTGCAGGAGGTAGATGTCCTTGGCCCTCGCGCCGTTGCCCTCCAGACGGACGGGGTGCGATGCCCGGGTGTGCATATACATGGGGGCCTCCCACTGCTCCTTACATATGTCAAATATACTGCAGGCAGCCAGGGTCACAAACCACACACACAACGACGAGGGCAGAATTGCGGACCTTTTTGCATCTAGATCAGCTGCAGTGTGCGCACCAGAGCATGGACATGTGGCACCGAGAGCTCCACCCCACCACAATGAGCCACCCGCTGCTCTCGCACAGCAGCACATGGGCATCCGACAGCGGCATCGCATCGTGAGAGTGCTGAGCGTTATTGTTGGCGCCCAGGGGCTGCCACAGCAGCCGGCCCAGCAGTGTCCGCTCAGAAGAGCCCATCTGCTTGTAGTTGGCTGGCGGCCCGGGCCCTTGTCAGTGAATCCATCAACAGGGAAATAGGATTCCCTCTACTCTGTGACACACAGATGCGCAAACACGTTGGCTCTCAGACTGCAGCCCCTCTCGCCGTGTGTGAGCTGTGCCTTGGTTGCTTACCACATCTCTGTTGAATCACCGGACGGAGAGAATTTTCCGTTTCTTTTGCACCATTTGGACAGAGCTGTGCTCTTGGTGCCGCCCATGAGGGCAAAAGGCGTCCAAAATGGATTCTCCCCCACACAAACGATTGAAAGCTCGCATTCGCGACGTGGGTTGTTGCGTTCGCAGGTGCTGAGTACGGCAGGCATTGCCCGCCTGTGTTGCCTGTTTGCCATTCGGCTGACGCCTCTCGCTCGCCCGGCTCCATCCCGCTTGTGACTGCCCTTCTCTCTCAGCCTCCCTCTCTCCCTTTGCTGAGCCCACCTCCTGCCCTCGCCCGGCCGCACATCCCCTCCCAACCCGATTTCGCACAAGGCAGGCCCGCCCGCCCTCTGACCGTCGCCCGTACATATCGGTATTGCCCCCTTGTGCTGTGTCAATCATGCCCGTGCCCATCAAGGTTGTCAATGCTGACATGGGTGTGAGCCGCCTGCCGCAGCTGCCCAAGACGCTGGGCGAGCTCGAGCAGCAGGTCTGCGAGGGGAAGCGCTACACGCCCAAGCAAATCTCAGTCACGGGTACGTACGTACGCTGGCTGCGCAAAGGGCAGACAGCTTTGTTCACCTGGCTTCCTTGTTGCTGCTGTTCGCCTCAATTTTGCACACATGGTTGCTGTCTGTCTGTCCGGTGCCTGCAGGTGTGATCGACACTCTGGATGCGGTCGTGTTGACCAAGGAGAGCTACCCGGCATTCCTCAAGGCAGCCACCGCCGCACGCGAGAAGATCACCGTCCGCATCAACGACGTCTCCGGATGGGACGATCTCACGCAGTCATACCACCCCGGTGGTGGAGCCAAGCGGCCGGCATTCCTCCCGCCGCGCGACAAACAGCCCAACACCAGCAGCACCACCAGCAGCACCGCCACTGGCCACCAGGCGGCTGCCCGCCTGGCGGCTCCGCTGCGGCTGGCTGTTGACCGTTTGACTGAGGGCGAGGGCATTGCTGAGGTGCGTCAGTGGTTGGAGGGCGTGTGGGGGGGCATGGACCCCAAGGTCAGGAGCATGGTCTCCCAGGCACTCAAGGTCGTCGGCATCGCTATCGTATGCCTCGCACTCAGTCAAATGGTACGCGACACACACACACACACACGTCCGCCATCACACTGCCAGACACGTCCATGCGGGTGTTTACGTGTGTGTGTGTGTGTGTGAAAAGGCGTTTGTGTCGAGCCATTCGAGCCATTCGCACGAGTCGGCGGCCCTCCGCGCCGAGATCGCCCTCGAGCGCGAGCGCAACGCCAACCTCAGCTCACGCATCGCACTCCTCGAGCAGGAACTGCAGACCACACACGAAGCCATCCACACCAAGGCCACTGACCTCTCCAACCTCGCGCGCTCACTCTCGCCCGCCGACCAGCTGCCCCTCGTCCACCTCGCCAACGACCTCAAGCGCATCAGCAAGCAGCCGGAGGACACCACGGTGCCGCTGTTCTTCCTCAATGTCAGCCAGCCCACGGTCATGCACACGCGGTCGGCGTTCAGCGGCTTCTACCCCTTCAGCGACCACGCCGCCCTCCCCCGCCCGGCACACGTGCCAGCGCCCCATCTGCTGTCGTACCCTCTCTCCTCGCATGAGAAGCACTGCCACGCCTGCAGTGGCGGCAGCAGCAGCAGTAAGAGCAGCAGCGGCAATGTCAAGGCTGACGGCGGCCTCCCACCCACGTGCAAGCGCGGATCGTATGCTGAGGAGATGGAGCTGAGGTGGGAGGACCGGCCCTTCTCTGCCAAGAAGGGCAGCCCCGGGAAGTACGAGGCTGTCTTGGTGCCGCTGTCCCTTTCCCTGGCTCCCAGCCTGATGGGCAACGCCACACTCATGGTCTCATACACGCGCACACCGGGCGCCGACAACGACCAGGCGAGCCCGCCGCAGCCGGTCATCAACGAGTCCTCCCTGGCGGCTCAGAAGGAGAACCTCGAGATGTGTGTGGGGCAGTACCTCAACCAGACCATCCTCAGCAAGCATGACGCCGGCAAGACAGCAGACGGCGAGGAGGTCAACGGCAAGGGCAAGGGTAAGGCCGTCGGCGAGACAGCGAAGGTGGTGACTACTAAGGTTGAGTCGGTCCGTCGGCACGGGAAGCAGGCCAGCGCCAACTTCCGCAACGCCTCGCGCATGGACGAGGAGAAACGTCGCCTTGAGGAGCTTCAGCGGCGGGTATGCCGATGGGATACGGGACACTTGGGTACATCTGTCTCATTCATGTGTGTGTGTGTGTGTGTGTTCTTGCAGGCTTTGCAGGAGGAGATTGACCGTTTGGCTAAGGCGTTGCGTGAGCAGAATGCCAAGCTCACCCAGCTCAAGAACTGTGACGCCAAAACCCTGACCTGGACCATCGCTGACTTCCAAGAGGTCAGAGAATCAAGAGGACATCCCAACACACTGCATCCGCCATCCTTCCCGTGTTTGTTTGTGTGTGTGTGTGTGTGAGTTGCAGAAGCAGCAGACCTACGGTGTGGGCAAGTTGTTGCTATCGCAGCCGACCAGTCTGTCGGGCATATCGCCCGTCCGGCTGGAGCTCTACCCATCCGGCCGCAGACCACACGAAGACGCATCGCTCGACATCCTGTCAGTCCACCCACAAGCACACAAGAAGACAAGACAAACACGACACGGACACCACACACACACCCATACTGGACTGCTCATGCCACCACCACCACCACCTGCACGGCGTCAGCTGTCAGCCAGCGGCAGATTTGTGGGCCGCACCTACCACTTAGCTCTGCCATCGCCAGCCCGCACTGGCACGTCTGCTCTGGCCTTGCCCGCCCCTGCTGTCACGGTCGTGTCCTTCCTGCCCCCTCCTCCCTCCACCTACTTCGGCCTGCTGCCAGCCCCCCCTCCCAAGACGCTTCACGCCCTCGTGCACCGCAACTACAACACCCAGGTGGCCCTGGTTGCCCAGCGACACATCAAGCTCGAGCACGGCGAGTGCAAGCATCGTCAGCAGACGGCCGACGACGGCGACGGGCGGCAGCAGGTGGATCGGCGTCTCGTCGAGGCGCGTGAGTACCCTGTGGTGGTGTACCGAGGCAGCAGTGCATTGCAAGGGTGGGAAATGCCTTAGAACTTGTCAGTGCCTTATAAGATTGTGCCCCCCGATTGTCCGATTATCGTTCATTCATCGATGCATGACGACAGCCGGCCGGCAAGCGCTTACTGTGTGGCGGCCCGGCAGAGCTCGGCGGAGGGGAGGAGGGGGCGGGGCGGTGGCGGGGGGGGGGGGGGGCCGTGACACGCATGACTGATCTGCGCCTGCACTTGACTGAGTGGCTGGCTGATTAGATATATGCATCCTTACACACGTTCTCCATACATGCCTTGCCTTCCTGTCTGTGAGCTGCTTGTCATTGCGTGTCTGCTCATGTCGTCTCTCTCTCTCTCTGCGTCTCTGTGTGTGTCATCTATCAGTTTTGAGAGCCCCTCGATCGCCTCTCTGAAGATCGGCGTGCAGGTCAGCATGACCTCCCCCCACTCGCGGCCGTGCGTCGTCCTCAAGGAGACCAAATCACTCCGGTGAGAAGAAAGGACCTCCTCTGCACACGTGTGTGTACTGTGTGGTGTGGGGTGCCATGGCATGGCATGCAGCCCCCAGGCTGGCGAGACCTACCGAGCTGCCTTCTCGCCCCGTAAGTGTCTGCGGAAGATGCGCGACGCCGCAGCGGACCTCAGCATCGCCATGACTCTCCACAGCATCAACGTACAAACAAACCAGCCACACACACACACACACACGGCAGCCAGCCAGGCCATCCATCGGCATAGACTCACTGTCTGCCTGTTTGTGTGGGTGTGTGTGCAGGGGTCGCAGGCCAAGTACTTCAGCCGTGAGGTGTGCCCCACTCCAACAGAGGTGCAGCTGCCGTCGGTCCACTGAGCAGCCGACCAGCCGCACACACACATACCCATGCCCCGCCGTCAAGCGCATCCATGGACGAGGTCTGTCTGTCGTCTTGGTTTGCTGTTTCTTTGAATCGACTGACTGCCTGCCTGTTGATGTGGGGAGGAGAGTGATAATAGGGTCGTTTCTTGCCTGGCTGGTCTGTCTGTCTGTCTGCCTGTCCGTCTCAAATCGATAAGCCAGAAGGGAGGAGAGGAAGAACCGAACAGAGAGAGATGGTCTGCTGGCTGGCTCATCGCCTTGCTATGGTACCACGTAAAACACGGCTGGCTGTATTATAGCAGCGTCACCCACCCGCCATGGAGAGAGACGCTCTGCCTGCCCTCCTGCCTGCCTGCCTGTCTGTCTGTCTGGTCGGTTGGTTGTCCTCACTCACCCATCTCATCTCGTCTCATCTCATCTGTCCACTAGCTAGTGCGCTGTGATCTAACGAACGGACTCGTCCGTCATCCGTCCATCTATCTCTCTCTCTACTTAATTGCTCGAGCGACCGACCGACTGATCGATCTCGATCCACCCATCCATCCATTCATCTGTCTGTCTGTCTGTCTCGAGATTTTTTCCTTTTCCCTCCCCTCCCTCCCCTCGTTTGCTGGTCCACGCCCACACACCACACCCACACACGTACATCTATGTGGATAGACACTCTGCAATGCTATCTGACTGACTGACTGACCGATGTGGCTGCCGTGCCGTGGCGTGGCGTGGTCTGTCCGCACCTTGGGTGTTGCCTGCTTGCCTGCCGGAACGACCGACCGACCGGCCGACCGACTGACCGACCGAATGAATGGACACATGGGAAGAGGCAATGGCGAATGACTGAAACCCACCGCAGCTGTAGGATGGATGGTGGACGGATGGATGGATTGTGTACAGTCCGCCTACTTGACTGGATGGGGAGCAGACAGCTGTTGTGGATGTGTGTATTTTCACCTACCGGTGACACACAGAGAGAGGGACACACACACAGAGAGAGAGAGAGAGATACCGGAGTAAGCCAAGCAAACCAGCCAGCGACACCGCACAGACGACCGTCTAAGCATCGCTGCCGACAGACACCCGAACGGTGCACCTACTTGATTGATGTCGACTGACTGATTCGATCGTTTTTGCTGCTCAGTTCTTGTCAAGTTATGCATGTTGACTGACGTGCGCTGCGCGGGGGACGGTTCCCCCCGCTCTTTTTTACCTGTTTAACACTCTCTGTGTGTGTGCGTATGTTGTGTGTGGGTCTTGTGGCGTGGCGTGGCGGGGGTGGGGTGATAGGACCGACTTCCTGACGGACGACTTGCTGAGGGACTGACATGGCGTCATATCATTGCACAGTGGTGCACACACACAGCACACACCACACACACCACAGACACTCGTGGGTACGTGTGTGTGTTCATGCCCGCCTTCATGTGGATGAGTGAGGGAGAGAGTGAAGTGTACCATACACACACATACACAAATATACGAAGTCGTACGACTGTCTGCATGCCATGCCTTCATCGCACACACGTCTCATCCATCCATCGCCTGTATCGATTGACTGATTGATCACTTTTTGCCGGTTGGTTGATCATAACCACATGAGTGGAGGCCTGGCGAGACCTGGCCTGGCCAGCTCAGCCCGCCTCCGCTCGCTGCATTTGTTATCTCAGAGACCCACTGCATGCCTACCTGCTGATGTGATGTGTGTGCCCTTTTTGCCCTTTTATCTATCGCTGGCTTGACTGATACGATGCATACGGAGAGAAGCCGCCACTGCACGCACGGCCCACAACATACACCCACACAGACACACGCCATTGTACATATGTCGCACATCACATTCATTCACAGCCGATCGGTAAGTATTTATCATCGCCTCGTGCGTGTGTGTCGGGTGTGGCTGTGTGTGTGCAGAGTGATGGTTTCTCTCTGATTTTTCAACGTGCTACGACAGACAGAGAATGGCGTCCAGATTGACGTGCCGTGCCGACACTATGGATGGTTGGATGGATGGCTTTGCCTGCCTCCCTGCTGTGTCTGTGTGTCTGTGTGTATGTGTTGCGCGCGTGTGTATAGCTTGCCTGCCTGCATTCATGTGTGTGTATGTGTGTGGACGATGGGCGTGAGCGTGCCGAGTCGATGGATGGCTATCCGAACGAGCTTATTCATGATCATGTGTCATTCGTTCATCGTAAGCAGACGCTCGCTATCGACATTATCGATAAGAAAACCTCCACGATCGCCGCACAGCAACGTTTCAGGCAACACAGAACGGCTCTGTACACACCGCAGCAGCGTGAACCATCGCATATGAGTGGCGGGGGGGGGGGGGGGGGGGGGGGG